GAGCCAATATTTATCCTCTCTGCTGGCTTTTATTTCAGCATTCAGCACTTGGTTTGCTTTTGCCTAGAAAGAGGCACCAGCTCTGGGACCTCCCAGACTTTGTGAGGTTTGGCACTCAGTGTCGGAGGGAGAACTCATGTTCTTTGAGAGAAAAGAGGTGGCTTCACAACAGTTTGGGATTTTTTTTTGGAGCTGCGTTTCTGGTTTTTTTTGGAGCTGATGTTTAGAAAGTGCCAGACAAGTCTGAACATGGTCAGCATGCTCAGAGGCACCCTGAAGTGTACTTGGGGAGAAAAGAGGAAACTCCTTCCACACACTGAATAAGCAGAACCCTCTTGGGGGTTGCTGGGTTGGTTCGTGTCTTTTTTTCACAGTTTCTAAACTACTAATGAATTAAAAAACAAGTCCTCCTTGAGTTGTATTTAGCCTTTAAACTAACCATTATGATTTCTGTGTTACAGTCTGGGAAATGTGCATGGTGTTGAGGCAAATATTCCCCCACCTGCTGGAATTTCCTCGTGCTTTTAAGCACTGCAGGGAGCATCACCCTTATGCTGCTGTGCAGTTTTTGAATTTTTATTTTGTTGGCAGTCATAAGAAATCAGAAGGAGATCTCACTTGGGGTTCCTCAAATGAAAATGAAATGTTTTCTTCAAAATATTCCATGGTTAAAACAAAACCAATAGTAAAACACAGTGCTTCATTCAAAATGTTTTCTCTAGGATTTGAGCAGTGAGGCTTATTTTTTCAATAATAATATTTTAGAAGGATGTGATATGTCTTTTGATTTTTTAAAATGCCAAAATCAGTGCCTTATTAGACATTTGATAAGTGGGAGTAATTTACCATTTTTCTGCCATCAATCTCCCTTTCTAACTGGATGGAGGGAGGGGTTTTTAGCAGCCTGTGTGCACTCAGCAGTTCCATGCTTTCAAAGCACAAACCTTTTAACACCAGCAAGGCACTTCTTCCCACTTCTTTAGGCTTCTGGTTCCCTTGGGACACCATGGGGAGAGCAAACCACTGTGAAACCACACAAAATTAATTCAGAAAGAACACTTCTAGCCAATATTGATGGGTGGAGCACTTTACTTACCATCTAGAAAGTCAAATGTTAAGCAGAGCTTTGCTCAGACAAACTGTGGTCTCTGAGATTTTATACAAACTTTCATTGCTCCAAAGCATTGTAATGTATAAAAATTGATATTTATTGTTTGTTAGGTTTTTGTTTTGAGTGGGGTTAAGGAAATAAGTGCATGACTGATATGTGCAGAAATAAATGGTTTATGAAGCAGTAGAGATTTCACATCCAAAATTATAATGATAGTCTGAAATGTGCAGAGCTCTCAGTGTTCAGAATTTTGATAATTTCAGGGAACAAACCAAAGAATCCATGAGTATCTGTAAGATGTAAATTCTTTCTAATTATGAAACCTGTAAGTCACAGCATTTTTATTTTAATGTGGTAGTGAAGGCATTTTGAGTTTTCAGGTCACAGACAGACGCAAGCTATGGCTTGAATACCAGACCCTGTTCAAGCAGGTATGACCACTGATTTTTCTGCATTTCCAGCATAAAGAAAACAAATAATGAATGGGAACTCAAGATTCTGGCCAAATTACCCTTTCATAGGAGCCAAGTTTTTCTACTATGTTGAGTCTGGTGTCTAAACCAGCCCTGTTTAAGATTCTGATGCATCAAAAGCATTTAAGGGAATACTTTTGAGATCAATCTCCCACCTCTACAGAAAAGAACCAACATTATATGTGAGAAGTGCAAATGAGAGGGAATCTATATTGGTTTAAAATTTCACAGACTTTAAATTTTTACTGTAACTATGTCAACTTTTTGCTAATAAGTGCCTTTGGCTTGGCTTTATCTTTTTTTTTCCAGTTTCTGAGTTCCTTAGGTCGCAACTTTGGCCTCTAACTAACTTCTAAGTTTTCAGACCAAAATGAGAATCAGGATATGAGTCTGTGCTTCTAGTCCTTGGTAATATGTGCAGATTAAGAAGAGATGAGTGAAAATAGGGAGCCTTCCTAGAAGATTCCTAGTCCCCACTGGTGCCTGTCACAGCAGCAGCAAAGCTCAACCCACCCTGCTCCCATCCATGTCAAGAGCACCAACAACATTATTTTCTCACAAGAAATGGCTGAAATAACAGCTTCAGCCTGCCTCAATGAAATTACAGTTTTGACACAAGCTTTTAAAAATTAGAAGTGAGAGGCAGGTGGTGTGACTGGTTAAAGGAGGGGAGAGAAGGGCCATTTTAGAGCATAAGATGATGATGTTGATTATTTGACCGGGGAAATTCATCCTAGCTTGGTGTATGGAAAAATCCCAAAACATTAAACTGAAATAAAGCACAAGTAAGGCTTCCTGACCTGTTCTTATCTTTTGGTGAGGTTTGAAGAAAGCACTTCTGAAGACCCAGGGCTCACTGCACAGGATATGCTTGGAGAGGCTACACTTCCCCACAGATTTCTTACCACTTCTAAGTACTTAATTTTACTTACTTTTTTGCTTCCATGGCAGCACACACAGCATGAGACAAGGAGAAAACCTGCCCTGGTTGCAGATAATGGTCACCCACAGCACAGAGCTGCTTTTGCAGACATCTGGGTCAGTAGATGCTGGAAGAGCAGCAGATCAATAAAGAGCATCAATAGTGCCAGTAGAGCTTTGGACACGAAGCCCATAATTCCAAATATCTATTACCAAACCTGAAGCTTCAGACAGCTTTACAGCTGTGATGACTGGAGGGTTTTATTTTAGCAGATGCTGGAAAAAATATTCACATGCAACATGATTCCAAAACATTGTTCTTTTGGACTTACACTTGAGGTGTATGACGAGGTAAAGCCAAAATTGTGCCGTGTCAATTCAGACTAAAAGGCTCTGCATGAGTCTTCTGAACCACAGTGGCTTCCAGGCTCATTTATTGCTTTACTCATCTCTTGAATGCTGGGAGAGGTGGTTCCCATTGCCATCCCACATGCCCACTGAAGTTTTGCATACTGTGTGGGGTAGGAAAAGGTATTATTCTGATGAAGTTTTCATTGGAATTGACTTTGTGATTGTAATTGACATACACCCCAACAGTGATTAAGAAGCTATTAAAGGAAAAATAGGCACTTGCTGCTGTGCAAATGGAAAAATTTTTGACATGCATTCAAAACTGTCTAGTAAATTCAGGCTGCTCAGTGTCCTTTGCAACAGTGTGGTTTTGGCATCTTTGCAGCAGTTTTGGACCCTGTCAGGTTCAGCCAAGCTTCTGTTACAGCACACTGTGACACTTTGTGGGCACAGTGAATGATTTAGCTCACTCTGCTCTGTGACACAGAATCAGCATTGGCTCAGTGGGCAATGGCCAGCAGGAGGGAGGAGACAGGAGATGAGAAAGAACATTTGTGGGTTGTTTTTCTTTTCCCCCAGCTAATTAGAGGGATATGAACACATTTTCTGAGTAAGCATGTAATGAAAATCTGAAATGCATTTTTAAAAAAAAAGCATGGAGGCATTATCTAAATGGTCAAGTGCTCATTTGTAATTCTGTTTTCTGGTCAGTTTAGGCTCTTTGCTGTTCCTACTGGAATGGCAGGCCCTCAGGCTGAGGCACACAGTGAAACGAGGGAGAAATGTGCACCATTGGAGCCTTTTGTTGTTACTAACTGGCTCCCTGAAACAAGGGGCTCTTCCCTTCTGCATCCACCTTGTGCTTGGAGAAGCAGCATCCCTGCCCTAGGACTGGGATCAGTGGGAGCAGTGGCAGTAGCATTAGGTGCCTGGAAAGAGAAGGGAGGGGAAATACATACAATTTACACCCATTCAGTAATCAGCTGTTTTTTCCTGTTTGTTTAGTACCCCTCACAAGGACTTGTTTTATTTGGGAATTATGTTAAGTCTATGCAGCTTTGTATAATACAAGAAGTTTTGCACTGTCACCAATGCCACAATGAAGTAGTTTTCAAATAAGTATGCACCTATTTACCTGCCAGTGGGATAACTTCGGAAGAAAAAAGAAAATCAGCTGAAGGAGATTATCAGGCTGCTGAGGGCAGCTGAGCTTCTGCCCTCCACCCTGGTGCCCTGCCAGGTGATAGCAGAGTCAGGGTGAAATAAAAAGCACGTGTAGGTATATTTTGCTGTATAGCTGACAGTGACTTCTCCACAGGTAAGCAATCCAGTGTGTTTACTTCCAGTTCAAGTCTGCTTTGTTTACATTGAGTACCATTGCTGCTAACTTCCAATGAGGTGACACAAAGCAACAGGTTACAAAAATGCCATCAAACATCCATTCTGACAGCATCCATGTCACAATACACAATGATGTACTGGCATTATACAAAGACCCCAAAAAAAAGAAAATATATATAGCTAATTATTTTGACTAGAACTGAAATGGACAGCGAAAAAGAAAAGAGCCCCCCTCCCTGCCCCCAAAGGCCCTGCAGGAATCCATACTGACATTTTGGCAGCCTTGTAGCAACAAATTGAAAACCAGCCCTTCACATGCCAAAACCTTGTATTCGTAACATTGTAAATGCCTGGTTCAGGAAAAATAGATATATCTAGTAAAGCACTTTTTGTGTGGTTTTTTTTTTTTTCTTTCCACCCCTCCAACCTGAACCACCTTCTTGTTTTTACACAGGGTTAATAATTACTAAAAATAATACATGAGTGAGGGGTATAGGCACCGTAGACTGCTCAGACAGTTAAATGCTATATATGCTAAGATATCCCAGCTGGAAACCCAGCTGCCCTGTGATTAGATCCATCTAAAAGAAGAGCCTGACCATTGATATTACTGAAAAAAAGGTTGGCAAAAAGAGCAATCCCTCTGCTTAATTAGTGGCAGCCCAACCAAGGGCCAACCCCACCCCTTGTCTCAGCTGCACAGCTCAGATTTCTGCTGTCAGTCCATTCCTGGGCTCTCGTGCTCCCCCCGGGCCCCACGTCCATCAGTGCTGTGAGGGAACAGTCAAATCCACGGCCCCAGCAACCCCCCCAGCCCTCCCAGCCCCTTTTCACAACCTCCAGGTTTCTTCATGTATGTTCATGCCTCGCTATTCACTAATGAGGTATTATTAGATACTAACAATGCCTGCTCTCCTAGGGACAGACCAGTGACACATGAAGAAAGCTCTCCAGTCATTAAAAAAATATTGCACTTACTTTCAACCTTAAGCCCAACCTGCACAAGAGAAAAAAAATTATGAAAGGAATTAACCAAAAGTACCAAACAAAACCCCAACACTCTGGAGCAATCTGTCTTATGCACATATAGTGTCTTTTCCTTCATGTTGTTTAGCTGATTTTGGTCCAGTGTTTAAAAAAAATGTCCAGAAATTAAACAGTTCACAAGACACCGCAGGCTCGTTAAGGCTTTGTCTCCCCAGTGCTTCAGAAAGGTAAAAGTTTCTTTCCCTCATTGTCCATGCACTGCAGAGCAGTGGTCTCTGGTGGCACAGCACCTGCCCCTTCAAACCATCAACAGAAAATAAATCAGAAGCAAGGGAAGATGGGTGTGCTTCGTGGTCTCACCTGCAACCAAACAAACAGAATGCTTTAGAGAGAAGGAAAGGGAATAAATACAGTTTTTGGAATTTGTTTTACTGACCCTCCACTCAGGCTGGGACTGCAGGTCACCAGTACAAGGTGCTGGGGCTCAGATTAGACAGCAACCCTAAACCCAAGGGACAGTGAGGCAAACTGGGGTTCCTTACAGGCAGGGGGATGACAAATCCACACAGGGGCTAAAAAATACACATGACACACAGCAGACAGGGCTGGAGCTGCACCAGCTGCTGGAAAAGCAGTTTGTCAAAGCCTGCAGCTTCCTGCTCCACCCAAAGGGAGTGCTGAGGTTGTGGCTGGGTTATTGCTGCCTCCTAATGAACCAGAGCAGTGACACACGTCCCCACAGCTTGTCCCCACCAGCAAACCTCGTGGTCACAGCCACTTGTTTTGCTCAGGTCGGTGGGAGAGTGAGACCAACCTTTCACTTATGCTGCTGGTGGTACCACTTTGAGAGCCTGCTGGTTCTCTGCTGCTATGATTTTAAATTTAGGATGACATTTCCCACTCTTTCATGCCAGAGCTTTTTGGTTACTAAGTCACGCTCCAGCAGAGCATCCCCAAGCCCCCACTTTGAGAGCCTGCTGGTTCTCTGCTGCTATGATTTTAAATTTAGGGTAACATTTCCCACTCTTTCATGTGAGAGTTTTTTGGTTTCCAACTCACCCTCCAGCCTCTGCTGGCCTTGGTAACCAGGCAAAATTCTTGTTTGAGAACAACTGGAGATATTGAAGTTCTCCCTTTAAGCTTCACGAGGCTTGTCAGGACAAGTGGCAGGGTTAGATGGCTCATCAGGAGTTTGGATTCTCTTTTCCTTTAAACATGAGTGAGCCCTTATATTCTTACAGTGCCATGGAGAGGCTAGATGGGTTTTTCCCTCACTCTCCATGTGAACAGGGAAGAGGAATAAGAAAAGCCCCAGAGTGCCAGCAGGGATATGGGGCATGGCACAGGGCCAGGCTTGCCTGACTTACCACCTGTGACTCTGAACTAGGACTTGCTGACGTTCTCATATATGACATCACTGATGCAGAACTGCTGCTTCTTCTTTTGCCACATCAGCTGCACACACTGGTGAATAAAAATGTACTGCTCCTAGAAGGAAAGACCAAATAAAAGGGCGTTTTTTGCACCCCAGAAAGCATGACAAAAACACAACCAGTTTGATGGTTCACAGGAACAGCCTGCACAGCTCCATGTCTCCCAGCTCAGCCCCTCACAATGCACAGGGAATAATCAGCTGCCAAAATAATAGTCCACAATTGTTACAGATAGCAGAAGGGGGAGCATGAAATCCACCTGACACCATAATCACTTATTAATAACCTGAATGGTGACAGAAGAGTTGAATCTGAGTTAAAGTTGGTCTATTTTACATTTCCTAAAAACAAATTAATTCCAAGAAAGGTATCTGAATGCTTTGTGTGCAACAAATTGCACCCATGCCACGTATGCACCTGAAATATTTTAATGAGGTTCAGGTTCCTCAGGTTCCTCATGTTTGACTTCTTTATCAATAAGAAGAAAACCCCCAGCAGTTAATTTGGAGAGTCTGGTTTCAATTCAGGATATTCCCCATTCTAAACCCTTTTTTTGGGCCAATGCCATTTGTTTTTTTTTTAAACTCATTGAGACACTGCCAAGTTTGCAGCATACCAGGCAATGTGAACTCAGGTGAGCTGGCAGGGGTTTCATATTTTGTAAGGAAAAACTCTTTGGTGGCCTCTGTGGCTGAGTGTCAGTGTCACTTGGTGACTCTGAGGCCAGGCTTGGCCACTGCCTGTAGCAGCAGGAGCTCAGTAACTGCCCCTAACATCAGCCCCAGGCATGCAATGAGGCTCTACACACAAAAAAAAATCTACAAAAACCCACATCACCTCTGGAGTGGTAGCAGTTGCAGTTGAAATCAACCATCAGGATTTTTTCCCTCTGGTGGAAAGGATCTGCCTTTGGATTAATACAGTGAATTGTGATGAAAAGTGGCAGTTTGATAAGAATGATCCTGAATAGACTGAAAATTACTTTTTTTTTTTTTCATTTCCAGATCCTAGTTGTTGTCACTGCAGGTTTTCTTCCTCCTCTCCTCTCCCTGCTACATGTTTTTTCTTTGCTCTCAATTCAACAAACTTTGGGAATAAACAATCTACCCTGAAAACAGTGATGGTGGCACTTCCAGATGGATGGAGGTTGCTCATTTATACTGTGTGTCTAACCAAGGAAGAGTTCAACAGGCATGAAATATGAAATCTTTCCCTCATTACTGGGGAACTGGGAAGGTTTAGACACATAAAACCTTTGCTTTGAAGAACGAGTTTGTGATTTATTTTTTTTTTTTTTTACCCCAGTATATATTGTTTGTATATTTTTGTCTTGAAAAAAGAACTACCCAGTAGATATTTGGGTAGGGAGAGGGGCAAGGAGGGTGTGTGGCAGACTCACCATACTTTTGCCTGTTTTGCTTGTTTGAAATTCCACTGTGTGATGAGCCGGATGATACCAACATGATACTTGAACAAGGCTGCCTGATACTGATATCATTTCATGAGCCATTAACCCCCTCAGCAAGCCCAGCTCTTTACAGTGTGGCTTGAAAATTTCCTATGTTAATCTCTTCTAATGCATTGTTTGCATATTCATTTCACAGAAGGTGAGAGTAACTCATTTCCTCTGGCAGACAGTGAGATTGCAGATATATCATCAAACCCACCTATGCAGCAGATTAACAATGTGGCAATATCACAATGAAGATGAAAGCTTGATTATATTGATTCACAGTGATTTTATCAAGTGTTTGAGGGAACTAGAGTCATGAACCTGCTGAGGATGGGTATGAAATGGGCACCACAATGCTATCGTGAACAGACCTTACCTCTGTCTGCACCATGGACATTCTGTAGGACCTCATGTCCGACACCAGGCCCAAAATATCCACGAACTCGTGGTCACGGATGTGCTGCAGGAGCCGGTCCAGGGCTATGAATGTTCCCGTCCGCCCCACGCCAGCGCTGCAACACACACAGACATGCAGCTGTGCAAGGGGACACACAGCAAAGCAGTGGCACTGCCAGAGGCAGGAGTCCTGCAGCTGTGCCTGTCAGACAGAGCTGATCTGAGCCCAGGCTGGCTGTCTGTCTGTGGGATTTAGTGGTACACGTCCAATTGGTTGGGCAGAGTAGATGCTCTCACACAGAATTTGCACACACAGCCTGCAGTGGCACTGCCAGAGGCAGGAGTCCTGCAGCTGTGCCTGTCAGACAGAGCTGATCTGAGCCCAGGCTGGTTATCTGTGGGATTTAGTGGTACACAACCCATTGTTTGGGCAGAGTGAATTGCACTCACACAGAATTTGCACGCACAGCCTCACCCACCCTTAGCTCCCTGCTCTTCCTGCTGTCACTGCTCCTCTCACAGACTTCATGAGACCCCTGCAGCTCCAGGGGCTGGAGTCAGAACTACAGAGACCTGCTCAGGAGCAGTGGATGCCCAGGGAGAGTGGGGGGTCACACCTGCAGGACTCAGTTCCACTGCTCTCCACACTGCAAAGCTCTTGGCTTGCAAAGGCATTGAACTACTGCAGTGATGCCCTCAGTGATGCCTTGTGAAGGCTTCCCTAGAACAGAGGCTGGGCAGAGTTAAAGAATAAAGCAGGGATTAATTAAAAGGATCTCCTCCATGGATGCACCTTGGGCAGCACCAGAGCCCAGCCAGGGCTGCACCCAAGATGAACCCAAATGGCCCCAAAATGCACGAGCGCTGCCGGGGTCTCTCCCTGGGATCAGCTCTGCTCCATGTGCACATTGCAGTTCAGTGTCCAACCCCAGCTGCAGCCCCTGCAGTCCCACCCTGCTTGTTTTTCTCTCTGCAGCCCACGGGGTTTGTGCTCCTGGGCTGAGATTTGGATCATTTGTCCTTGGTGCCCAGCTGGAGCAGGAATTGTTTTGTCTCCCTGCTCTGTGCACAGAGCTCACCATCCCATAATATGAAGCCCAGACCCACACACTAAAGCAGCACAGAATCGGAAAAACATAAAAACTAAAACCTGAGGCATCACCAGAAGAGTCTGCACTCCAGGACTTCTGCCTTAGGAGCATGAGACAGAAATAGCTACCACTCAGCTGAAAATCTGCATTTTCCCCAAAGGGAAGCTTAGCAACCAGAAAAAACACACACTGCTTTCATTTAGAGATTCTCATGTGTGTACAATTCTTTGCACTGTAATTTCACGTGTGGTGTTTAAGTCAGATTTCACAGAGGTCTTAGGGAGTTTCACACAGCATTCCAGCACTTCACCTACTGCTAAGGGTTTGTATCTTGGCAGAAGCTCTTTCTTCTGCTTTGTCATGCTTTTTCTGAAAAGCCTTGAAAGTGTTTGCAATACTGTTTAACTGCTCATTCACACAGTTCAACATGACTGTCACAAAACAGGTCTCTATTTGGGCTTTTGTTTTGTTAATTTCTCAAATGCAACGACGTGTTAATTGGACAAATTAACTGATAACTTCATCCTGTGCCTTCTTTAAAGTCTAAGAACAATTACTGCAGGAGTTGATCGATGCATTCTTTCTTTCCCCCCCCTACTAATTTCGTAGCATGTTACTTTTAATCTATGTGATCTAAGATGCACAGTATAGTCCAAAAATACTACCTGAAAGTATCTTTGCTGCTAGAAGAATCCTCACTGGAAAAAATAAATACTACAGCTGTTGCCCAGCTCTCTGACACTTGCTTCTGTTCCTTCCCAGAACAATTAAGCAGTAAATACAGGGTCTGATTTCACAATATTATATATAAATCTCTCCCCCTGGCTTATTGAGGACTTTTTTTGGCATTAAGACTCACAGAACAATATCCTCTGTGAATTTCTCCATGGGGTCACAGGGCAGAGCTGCATAACACCGTAACACCAGAGAGAACCACCTTCAGCCACCAGCTGAGCAGAAACCCAAAATCTCTCTTTCTCATGGTTTCCCGACCTATTTAATGTCACACCTTGTTCTGCCCCTACTCCTTGAAGCATTTACCTGCAGTGTATGACCATGGGGCCTTTAGTCTTGGCTGATTTCTGCCTGACCATCTGCACGAACTGGAGGATGCTCTCGGCAGCGTTGGTGGTGGGCACGCCGTGGTCTGGCCAGGCAGTGAAGTTAAAATGCATCACGTCCTGCACCTCATCAGCCTGGGGGGAGAAGCACAACAGCAGCATGTCATCACACTCAGTCATGCTGGGATTTTTTTTCATTTTGTGGTTTTCTTTTTTTGTCCACATACAGCCTAAAAGGCTGAAGCCAGCCAAAAAAAAATTGGCAAAGAACAAACAAGTTAGTTAATACAAAGTAGGAGGGATATCAGGCCATCATTATCAAAACAACATGAACTTCCTGTTTCTGGGTTTGGGATTTGCTTTTTGCTTATGTCCCTGTGGTAGTTCCATCTTACTTTGCTTTAAAATCAAGAACTCTTGCATTTTTCAACTCTGGGCTTTTTTCCCCTTTTTATTCCATTCCCTCTCCTTTTCTCATTTTGCCACAGATAAAGAACAGCAATGTTGGCAAACAGTCAAGCCTGGACTCTCAGGAGACTTTCTTTTCAAGTTTTAAAGAAAAAAAAAAACAAAAAAAAAATTAAAAAAAAAGAAAATCCACTAACCCCCCCGCCAATGATTTACTAGAGGAAACATTGAGGAAAAAATCTCATTATAAAAACCCCCTCATTTACAATGAAAAAAAAAAGAAAATCCACTAAAAAACCCCCAATGATTTACTAGAGGAAACGTTGAGGAAAAAATCTCATTATAAAAACCCCCACATTTACAATGCTAAAAATTCTACTGGCTTTAGATGAAGTAAGATCCTCAACACAACACATAAGGTCTTGGGTCAGTGGTGAATTGCCGGTGCACAGCTTTTTCCACATCCCCTCCCTATCCCTAAACTTTCCTTCATGAGATGGTGCTGGCAATGAGCTGATGCACAAAACAAAGGTGGAAGGAAAGTCTGAGGAGCTTTAATCTGAACACCATATACTCTCATATTTGTTTCCATACTTTATAGGTAGACGTGATTATTGCAGAATTGCCCCTTTGAAAAGTATTTTCATTTATTCCATTGGTATTTTCAAGTTATGAATAATTTATAGCAAGGAGCTGTGCCTGAGATATAGAAAAGAAGAAATTCACACATTTGTTGCTGGTAATTATTGGTACCACAGAAGTGTCCAGAGCTCTGGTACTACTATTGTTTCAGCCTTGCACTTTGCTGAGAAATTCAGAGACAACAATTTTAGGGGAAAGTTTTGTGATTTCATCATTTGCCTGTGTGAAGTGAGGGTGAGGACATCAATCTCTCCTAGGTGTTTCCTGCCAGAAATGGACAAAGTTAAAGAAAAGGCTGGGCTGCAATCCCACTCCTCTGGCAGAGGGTTTCACTCACGTAGCTGATCCGGAAGCTGCGATACACCCAGTCCGTGTGCTCCTCCTCGCTCAGCATCTCCACTGTGATATCCCCATATGCAACAGGATCTTCTGTGAAAGGCCAGTAGTGGTCACATTTCACCTGAAAGGGGGGGAAATCCAGGCATACTTGTATTTGTATAAAGACACACACATATGGAAAGAAGCACGTGCAAAAGGAGGCAGAACGTCAGGTTTAGCAATGCTTACAGCACTGTTCACTTGCTGCTGCAATAAGAGGAAATTTATCCTGCAATGACTTCCAGTCTGACCATTCCCATTTAACTGTGGCCATCAGCTATGTGTCAATTTTCAGAGGTGTCAATTTTCAGAAGGGTCCAGTGAAGAATACAAAAAGAGTGCCTTTTGTTTTTCTTCCTGATATAATAGGTCTAAACGGAGCAAAACACTGTCCATATAAACCTCCCCAAATTATATTTCAAATATTTTTCTTACATTATCAAGGGAAAATGTAAAGCTAGAACTTGTATTTAATAATTATCTAAACTTAAAAGTGCAGAATCACAGAAGGCCTGAGGTTGGCAGGGACCACTGGAGGTCATCCTGTTCAAGCCCCTCCTCTCTCAAGCAGTGTCACCTAGAGCCAGCTCCAGACCATGTCCAGGTGACTTTGGAATATCTCCAAGGATGGAGACTCCACAAGCTCTGGGCAACCTGTCCCTCTCACAGTAAAATAAGTGTTTCCTGACTTTAGAAGGAATTTGATGTGGTTTTTTAATTTGTGCACATCACCTCTTGACCTGTCACCAGGCAAGTCACAACTAAAGGAGTCCCTCATCTTCATTCCCTCCCATCAGATATTGGTACACAGTGACAGGACCCCTGGAGCCTCCTCTTCTCCAGGATGAAGAGTCCCAGCTCTCTCAGTCTCTCCTCATGTGAGAGGAGAGGCTTCATAATAAGGTCAGGGGAGGTAAAAGGGCAGAAAAGGTCAAAGAAGATCAGGGTCGTCAAAGAAGTTCAAAGAGGGTGGAGGAAGGTTAAGAAGGAGGCTTCATAATAAGGTCAGGGGAGGTAAAAGGGCAGAAAAGGTCAGGGTCATCAAAGAAGTTCAAAGAGCGTGGAGGAAGGTTAAGAAAGTCAGGGAAAGTCAACATCAAAGCAAGTCAAAGCAGGTCAGGGAAGGTCAAGGAAAGGTCAAGGTTCAAGAGAGGTCAAGAAAAATCAGGGAAGGTTGAAGGAGGTGGGGGAAAGTCAAAGAATGTTGAAGAAGTTCAGGAAAAGTAAAAGCAGGTCAAAGAAAATCAGAAGAAGGTGAGAAGGGGTCAAAGAAGTTCAGGAAAGGTCAGAGAGGGTTGAAGGAGGTCAGGAAAAGTAAATGAAGTTGCAGCAAGTCAGGGAAGGTCCAAGAAGGTCAACAAAAGGACAAAGTTCAAGAAAGGTCAAAGGAGGTCAGGGAACATCAGGGAATGTCTAAGAAGGTCCTAAAATGGGAAGGCAGATGCCATTCCAGGGCTGGTTAGTCAGGGAAAGTCAACATCAAAGCAAGTCAAAGCAGGTCAGGGAAGGTCAAGGAAAGGTCAAGGTTCAAGAGAGGTCAAGAAAAATCAGGGAAGGTTGAAGGAGGTGGGGGAAAGTCAAAGAATGTTGAAGAAGTTCAGGAAAAGTAAAAGCAGGTCAAAGAAAATCAGAAGAAGGTGAGAAGGGGTCAAAGAAGTTCAGGGAAGGTCAGAGAGGGTTGAAGGAGGTCAGGAAAAGTCAATGAAGTTGCAACAAGTCAGGGAAGGTCCAAGAAGGTCAAGAAAGGACAAAGTTCAAGAAAGGTCAAAGGAGTTCAGGGAACATCAGGGAATGTCTAAGGAGGTCCTGAAATGGGAAGGTAGATGCCATTCCAGGGCTGGTTGTGATGCTGCCTTGTGACCAAAAACAATGCAAAGACATTCACTCAGCATAAAAAAACCTTTTTTCAGAGTGGTTTCTGTAACACCATGTACAAGATTTTGTTACATACCCGTCTTTTCTCATTGCACTGAGTGAGCATAACAATAATTTGTGATTTTTGCTGGAGAACCATCTTCCAAAAATCATTCCTAGTTTCTGGCAATGGTCCTTGGGTTGCAATGTATTCCTGGGGTGAATTATAACCCTATAAGGCAAAGAGATATGTCCTGCTTACTAATATGGTTACTGTTTCAGAACATGTATTTTTCTTTTATTTTTAGCTTGCCCAAGTTCAAGTTGTACTTCTAAAAGTGATTCTTAATATAAGAAAATAATTTTTTTGGTATTTATTTTGTGATGACAACTTTTGCTAGATTTTGATGCTCCCAAAGTATAACAAATCTAAAATGCAGAAGACGTAGCTGTCACCACACAAATCATTTGCCCAGAGAGCAGAAACGGCAACATTAAAAAAAAAAAACTTAAGAGAAAGTTACAGCTCCTTTCAGATTATGTAGTTTTAGAGTTTGTTTAGTTATAGGCACAAAATCTGTTTAATTTTTTTGGTATTTTTTTGTGATGACAACTTTTGCTAGATTTTGATGTTCCCAAAGTATAACCAATCTGAAGATGAAGCTGTTACCACATGAATAATTTGCCCAGAGAGCAGAAAAGGCAACATTAAAAAAAGCAAGTAATAAGAAGCTTAAGAGAAAGTTACAGCTCCTTCCAGATTATGTAGTTTTAGGGTTTGTTTAGTTATAAGCACAAAACCAGCCACAGAAGCCCAGTCTGCTCATCCCAAGCAGTGCCTGTGGTGACTTTCAGTCACTGGTGTCAATGGAACAGGAATATACACACAGGTTTATGTCAAGAGGCCTTAAATTAATAAAATATTAATTAGAATTCTGCTTAAAATAATAGAGAAGATGATGAGTCAATGCACTTAACAGATGCTAAGATGCTTCATTTGCATGTATTCCCTTTCCTATACCTATCAATATGATTTTAGTTGGAAAGACTCCTTTCACCTCTCCAAAACAAAAAGACTGTTATTAGGACTCTAATAAAAGACCACAGAATGACCCCTTTGGCATCTGCTATTACCATATTTGCTGAGATTGTATCATCAAAACTGCATTTGGAAAGTAATTTTATATTCCTAGCAAGAGCAAAAAATGCATCCAACACGCAGCATGATCCCATGCAAATTGGGCAATTTCTGTGCCACCACTGCATGTGGATCATAAAATTATTTGCGATTTGGGAGCACTTTCCACAAATAGCTTCCTCCAGACATCTCTGCAAACGAGCTCAATCCCAGTTTTTTTGCACTGCAAGGAATTTGCTGTCTGTTCTGCGTGGGCTGTGTCTGACCTAAGTGACAAATCCCCGTCAGCACAGGGATAGATCACCCCTGGTTTCTGTGTTTGGAGGCAGGGAATCAGTGGAGCACTGATTACCAGAAAAAGAACAGCAACAGCATTGCCATCCTGTGTTTATCCCTGTTTCCATGGTCAGCACTGTGCTAGAAGCAGAACTAAAGAGATGCAAAGCAGAACTGAACTGAATTTTGCATGGAATCTGAAAGGGACTGCTGCTTAAGATCCTGTTATCCACAATCCTGTGTGACAGAAGTTTCCTGGGCTGTGCATCCTGGAAGGTTTTTCTTCCCTGATTCTTGCAGTGTGACTGCTCAGGTTCATGCCCAGGACACAGAGAAGCCAAGCACAGACACTTGGCTCAACACTGCACACTTGGGCAATGCCAAAGTGACAGAGAAGTGGCACCAGTGACTCATCCAAGGGCTCCTCCTTTCTCTGTAACGCTGGCTCAGCTCTCTCCAGCACAGCCAGGGTCAGCTCTATCTACAGCCAGACTGCAAAAATGCCCATTTTTCTGTGAAAGGCCTCTTCCCAAAGGGCTGCAGTGGTGCCCTGCCTCCTCTCCTAGCAGAGCAGCCCAGGGAATTCTTGCTCTCCATTCCCCACTGAGCCACAGCACAGAGGTACCAGAGGGGCAAACCCTTGTGGCAGAGGCAAGCCTACGTGACTGCACAAACTCAGGGGAGAGTGGGGAGAGCTTATGAGCTTTCAGCCAACCCCCAGTGTCAAAATATTTGCCTACAGCTCTGTGCACACTGTAATTATCCTGGAACCGTGGGTGCTACCCCCGGTGAGTGGCTGCTCTCTGCCAGGTGCAGGGGAAGCACCAGAGAGGAGGCAGAAAGCAGAAGTTCCCTCCACACACCATCTGGGCTGTGTGCGTTTTGTGCATTTGGAGTGTCTGCCTTAGCTTTATTCTTCCATGTGCAGCAGAAATCTAGAAAAATTTCTCCTTTGAACATCTACGTTTCACCTCGCTATCTTAAAAGGTCACTGAATCATTTTAACATTTCCTGCCCATTTCCCTACCTGTCCAATCAAAGCCTCACAAAGATTCACAGGTACTGCAGCAAAATTTGCTGAAAAACCCTCCCCCTCTTTTTATTTTCTCTTTCTTTTTTTTTTTTTTGGTGGCTTTCCCTGTAGGCAAAATATTTGGAAGCTGAAGGAGATGCTGAGGGCATGAGTGAGCTTCCAGGAAATGCTGTGCTGTTTTCAAGGGCCCAGCTCTGCCTGCTGGGACAGACAGGACACTGAACACACTGACCAGAGCTCTGTACTCACAGGGATGTAGTTGGCATTAATGTAGTCAGACCCCTCCTCTTCATTCATTGAGACCAAGCGGACACGACTGAAATCATCTGTAAAAGGAAAAAGAAATTAGGAAAAAATCACCTCTCAAATATGGCACTCATCTCCAACTAGGCAAAATTTAAATTAGTCCTATAGGAATGGCCAAAAATAATCTATTAAAAAATAGAAAATTCTTGTATTGACTAAGAGAGCAATGTTTGCTTCAGCAAATATGGGCACACCATCATTAGTGTTCTGCAAACACCCCCTCCAAGTGCTGTCCCTTAGGCTTCATTAAAATCATAAGAGAAATACAGTAACACAACTCAGCAGCATAAAAAACCTTGTGTTTCTCATCTCCAAACTCCTGCTATGATAAACATTTCCAGGAAGCTACATCTATTCAAAGCTAACATAGAAACACCCCTTGCCTGGTTCTGTGTAAGATCAGGATTGTAGAACAGGCTTTTACCAATCTTAGAAAAATCTCCTGATTCTCCAGTTTTCTTATTGGAACTCTTCTTTCCCTCTCCAGGGCTTTTAGCAGGATGTAGTGTGTGTTGTACTTACATGGCAGGATGTTCGTGTAGCGGTTCTTGCAGCGATTCATGGGGAGATCAGCAGCAAAGTGGGGGATGTCCAGCCCAATCAGTTTCAGCTCCTGAGACAACAGAGAGGAAAATGCCAAGGTCAGCCTCAAAAACAGAATAACTCCTTGTGATTCCTTGTGGCAGGTAGCAGCCAGAAGATGCTCATAAATCACTTTATAAATTGGCAGCAGGATGACAGATTGTCCTTTTTTGATGCCTCTGAGCTGGGCTCCAAGCAGCTGGAGAGCAGTGCTGGGGTTTCTCCTCCTGATGTTGCCAACACATTGCTGCCATCCCAGAGCTGGGACTCAGAATTGCTCCTCTCTACCCACACTCACTGCCAAACCAAAAATTCTGTCAAACCAGGGGCTGGCTAAGCTATTTCTGTGGTGGTCATCTGCCCCTCTTTAAGAGGCCTCTTGAAATCCTCAAGTGGCTTTCAGTCTTGGGGAAATGCTTGGAAGATCTTTTCAGTCATCATCTTCAGCAGTTACATGCAATATATGGTGCATCAGGGGAATTTGTTGTCAGGAAACATCCTGAGAGTCCTCCCCACTGCTTTCCATCTTAAATCTTGGGAAACAGCTCCAGGGTAGTGATGGGGTTTAGTATTATTCTACTAAACGGACTTTAAATTTTGTGTAATTAAGAGAATGCACCTGGACTTGTCTTAGAGAAATCTCCTTGCTCTTATAGATATTTCTGATGCGACTTCCTCAATTCAGCGCTTCCTCTCAAATTAAGGACATTAAATAAATAAAATAAAGCCATTAAAATCCCAAATTAAATTCTGGTTGCCAGCATGCCCTAAACTTAAAGCAAATGTGTTTTTTTTCTGACAGTTAACTCAGATTGAATTGTGAGAAGCCACTCCAATCAGCTCAATAAATGCAGGGTTTAACAAGACCAAGCTCCATTTCTAAATTCTGCAGAGGAGGAAGTGAAGCTGGCCCACCCAGCAACACCACAGATCAACACAGAGCACACAGGAGCACGCCATGCAGCCTAAACATCTTGAAAAAGCTGATCTGGGCAAATAGCAGAGGGCAGAATCCTCAGAGATTTACCTCAAATTGCAGAGAAAATTTATAATCTGAGTCTTTGGCCATATCCTTGATGTATCCATCAAAGTCGTCCAGCTGGACAGGGCTTTAAAAGAAAAATATACAGAAATTAGGTTTTTAAAAGAATCTGATTTTTGTTGTACCTTTCATTTCTTTCCCCCAGAATACTCTCAAGTAATAAATATCTATTTGCAGCTGCTAATCCTAGAGAGAAATATGGACAAATCTTGTTGTTCAGGGCCATCCAATGTTGAGTGTACTACATTTTGAATGCCACTGCCCTGACGGCTTTCTCTGCTGGCTTTGACAGCTACACACATTTGTAATTATGAGTCCAACCCTCTTCCCAGAGAGATGGTGGCTAAAAAAAGGTGGTCTATAACTATACAAAACCATGGAGAGCTCCAGTAGGTAGGAATTAGCCTTGATTTAATGACTCCCATCTTTCCACACTTTTTTTTTTTGCCAGGTGAGATCTATCTGTTAGCCAGGCACAGCCCCTGAACATAACACAGAAATAATTAGGCTGATGCTGTGAGTAACGAAACACAGGTAAACAGCTTCCCTCACCTAATTATCATACTCTAATTTACAAGCTACTGGAGCATGTACACAGTAATCTTCTCATTTACTTGGAGGCAATATGCCCAAAGGAACCTGTCTTATCACCACTTAATTACTCCTGTTTACCCGCTAGCATTAATGATCTGATGTTCTAGCAACAACTGTAATGAGAGCCCCATGTCGATAGGGAAATATCACTGCAAACAAATGCATCCCATTTTTTTCACCATTTGCAATTTTTAACTAAGGATAAGCTCTGCTGAAATCACTAAGTTGGATAATTGATCTTTTCCCTGCTGACTAATTTTGTATGTTTTACTACAATCTGTCGAGCAGAATTCTTTTTGTCCAATTTGTGTTTGTTTTCTGCTTTCAGGTATCTCTCTTGGCATATGTCTATCAAGAAGTTTTCTGTATTTGTAACTGAAATACCACTGTGCCATCTACTCCATAATGCCTATTTAGTCTAAGACTTATTCCTTTAAATATGAAAGAAGTTACATACTTGGTCAGCTTTCTCTTCTTTAATCCATTTTTACTCCTGAAAAAAAAGGAAGCGTTTTTAATTCATACTTTTCAATTAAACAGTTCATTAAACAGTTGTACAACCTTTACTCAAAGACAGCACTGATTTAAGAAATGTATTTTTTCATCATACTCAGGAGGAGATTGATGATAATAATTTGGACAATTTAAGGCTGATAGCAACATTTCTCCAGTGGGATGCATATCCCATTCTGTGGCTCTGAAAATGACCTGCCACTGGAAAGGAAAATCTGTGCCCAAATAAATCCTGACCCATTGGGTGGGCTGGGGCTGAGTCCCCAGGGCCTGAGCCTGGCTGAGCTTGGAAAATTGGATGTCAACACTGGAAAGCAACTGGGGATGAGAAGCATCTCTTGGGTAAAGGGACAAGACCACCACTTGCAAATTCAGGAAAAGGTGAGGGGAAAAAAGACAGGGCCTGTCTCATAACCTGCTTCTGATGATAAATGAAGACAATGGCAATTATCCTACAGACCTCAGCAGGACTCAAGCTTAAACTTTAGGCAATTTAATTGACTTTAAACAGCTGGAGATAATTGTGCCAGTCATGTACAACAATGATTTATGGCTGATGTAATTCACTAGCAACAGTTGTGAGCAGGTTTCTGAGTGTGCTAAGCAGAAAAACCCAAAGGACTTAAGAACTGCCCTACACCAGCTACCACAGGGGGGAATTTTGGAGGGCGGTTGTGTTCACTTTGTTGTTGCCACAAAAACGTTAAGGAGCAATAAAATTAAATAGACAAAGCAAGGACCCTGGAATAACTCGGCTAGAGGTCTAAAAACACTGATGTCCTCTGTTCAATCAGCCACAGAGTTCAAATAGATTCTTGCTTATTCAGAAATAATTTTGTTAGTGTCAGTTTTTAATTCCTGGGCTTTAAACAATATCTGTTATTTTTTCACATTATAATGATACTATTTTTAACTTCGTGGTGAGATGAAAATTATGTCTACATCATTTGCTTCCCAGCTTCAATTAGTAAATTAAAGGACAAGATTTTAAATTCTAAATAATGAAATTATACAGAAAGAAATATTAAAAAGCAGAGTATTTTTATTTTTCTACCTTGTTAAGTTTAGAAGCTACATTAAAAACAAATGAAGAGCTACTTTCCAAAATGAATTTTTACAAAACATTCAGTTTCTGAAGCAGCCACCACTTGTAGTAATTTTGTTATTTTGTCAAAGCACATTTCCATTTAGATGAGGAGCTTTGCCTGCAGAATTAAGAGCTATGGCAATACCAGCTTTATATTAATGTGGAGATTAAATATTATAAACCTCTTCAGCCTATCATGTTATCTGTACATTCATATGTACTATACACCTAAACTAGTAGTATTTATTTTCCATCTTCAAAGATTTTTTTCAATGAAATCTTAACGTTAATACCTCTAAATTATTCAACACACCTCTGTCCCCTGTGACTATGGTAATCCTTTTAATGTCAGGCACATAAGAATTAATTTGAAAAGAAAAAAAATAGCTAAATGCTCTTTATGATGAGAATGCTTCTAAGAAGGCTTCTCCAAGGAACACTTCAAGAGACAATAAAATAAATGATTGACAAACATTTCTTAGCAAGAATTTTGTGTGCTTTGATAGTCTCAAGAGGCCTTTGTTTCTTAGCATTGCAATTGTTTCCTGAATGTTCATAAATGTTTTAAACCAGCTTATGTGCAAAACAAAACCATTTGAAAGGTTAGCTGGTGCTTCATCTGTTATTCCATTTAGTCTACATATTAAAATACAAAGAGAGGGATTAATCTCATCTCATTCCACTTCAGTTCCTGTAAACTCAATCATCTAGACTGAAATAGGTAGATTGATTGAAGGGGAAACTTCTGAAGAAAGATATGCATCTGGAAAGGTGAATTAATGAATAATAAAAGAAAAAGGTATAGGGACAAAAGATGCCAATATTTTTGCAGCAGTGCCACCCACAGTGTCCACTCTGGGCTTTTTGACCAGCTGAGAGAGCTCAGTGTGACTTCCAAAATAAGCACCTGCTTGCCCGACCTGATGCCTCAGGTTTTAGCTTTGATATTTTTCAGATTCTGTCCAGCCTCTGTTTTAGGGCAGCCTCCTCAAGGCATCAGACTCTCCCCATCTGTGCAGCTCGAGAGTTAGCTGAGTTTACACCAGACAAGCTCCAAGAATATAATATAATAATATAACATAACATAAACTTTGGAGAGAGTGGGAAGACCCCCACCCAGACAAGCTCCAAGAATATAATATAATATTAACCTTGGAGAGGGTGGGAAGATGCTCCTCAGTGAGGTGTGTGTGGAGAACACACTTTTGCTTTCCTGACAGCAGAAATGGACTTTTCTTCACTTACATAAACATTCTTGTTTCTGGGTCCAAAAAAAATTTGGATGGGTTTTCCTGCAGACCCACTTTAACTCAAGGAAAATCAATCTCAAAAATCCCTGTGCTGAAGATGTTGATGTCTGCCTGCCAGGGCATTGGTGTCTCATGGTAAAACCAGGGAAAATGCTAGGGAAATAAAATCTTAACCTCAGGACTATCTTTTTTTATAAAACCCTAAAACTTGGACTCAAGACTATCAGGAACTTAAGTTTCTTTATATGAATTAGGCAATTTTGGGTCATAGTTACTTATAATTATTTGTTAAATGGTTTGTGAAACAATTCTGGTTCTAAGAGGAGTGGCTTTGTCGTTAGGTATTTTCAAGAAAACAATCAGGTGTTTACTAAATCCTTATAAATTATTTACAGACAGTAATAAATATACCCACAGTATTAAATATACCCACATACAAATGAGATGTGCACATGCCATTTTGTGCACAAATGAGATGTGCACAAAAACAGTGACCCAGTTTTTACTCTTTGGGACTCCTAGTTGTATCCATTCTCAGTGAACTGGGTTTTTTTTTAAAAGCAAAACTTTTACTGACATCAGGAGGGCATAGGAGCACCTTTGAAAAACAAATGTATGTGACATCACACACCAAACAGGTGAGGCACAATCAAGCAGTTTTAGTAATAGAACAGCAGCAGCAGAAGTCAGTGCCAGGCAATGAACATGTAAATAACCAGGACTTATCATGAAGCAGCAAAAATTGCAAAGACAGCAATGAGATGGATATGATGACCACTGTAAGATTAGCTGTTTAATACCAAAATTAAACATAAACAGACAAACCAGATGAAGCAGGGTAGCAAACACTTTGATACCCACATCCTCTCCAGTCCATGTTCCAGTGCAAAATTATATCTCCAAAAGCTTTGACCCGTTTGAGAACAGAGGTAACACATTTTTCATGTCATAGAAATTCACATTGTTTACACATTGCATATGGAAAAACAAGTAAATCACTTACCAAGGATTAACATAAAATGCCAAAAGATAATCAGTCCAAAGGCATGAGGGTAGCAGAGTTAGGAAAGCAAATACACTTCTACGCCTGTGAGCATTAATAAATAACATACATAAAGATGAAAAAGTGAGGAGAGTTAGTAAGACAAACAGAAATCAGGAGATCAGCAAATTCTATTATAAAAATCAGCTAAATCCATAAATCCTACTTACTTACGGTCAAATCCTACTTCTTACTTCCTTATGGTCAAATCCTACTTCTCACTTCTATGTGGTCAAAATTAGTGATATGTCTTATCATATTGATTCAGGCCCATTATTCCAAATTTTCAAAGAGTAAAGTGGGTAGGAAAACATCACTGACAAATTTCCAGCTATTGCATTGGTGGTATTAAGCCTACTTTCAATGTTTTGAGATATTCAGTACTGATTTGGTTTGTTTTTATCACATACATAATCTCTCATGCTTGTTCCTGCAAGATCAGAAGATTTCTATCAGAGAGAAATTCAGATGCTTCTAACATCTCTTAATGCCCTCCATCAAGTCAGGCATCCCTATAATACTTTGCAAAATGCTTTAAATTCTTTCCTAGGTTTTAATCTAAACATTGCCTGAACAGTTCTTCTAATTGTGCTTTCTGTGAATAACTATCCACAGCAGATTTTACTGTGGCTGAAGGAAATATGAGTACAAAATAATTCCAAACTTTTGTATTTGCAAGCTGTTTATCATGTTCTGTGTGCATTAATTCAGGAAACCCACTCAGGCCTGTTCTATCTATTGGTGAAATGGGCTTCAGGTGTTTTGCAAATATGAAAAACTCATGGAACTTAAACAAACTTGGCTCCAGTAAAAGCTTTGGGTTTTTTTTAGTCAAATACACACTTGGGGTGTTTTTTTCCCCATCAGAAAATCTGCTGCCTTAAAAGTGATACCATCCTTCTGCAGCTGCTCTAAAGAGGAAACACAAAGTTAAATTTCCTTGTTCAGTACCCTTGGCTCTTATGAAGTTGGTAGATACTGTGTTTTCCCTGATAAGTAAGTCATGTCAAATTGAATCATCTCTAATCTCAATCTTCCAGCCAGTGAGGAAATCTTCTGCCCATGCAGTGAAAACTCCAAGTTATGCTTTAATGAGTTTTGCCGCTGTAGAGAAAATGGGCAGTGCAGTTTCTGCAGGGCACCTGCCCCAGGCTTTGTAGGAATTGTGTGGCTCAGCCAGAGGCAAGAGCCCTTCCTGGTCAATCATACACAACAACTGCAGAATCAGACTGTGGCATTCACATTCTCTGAACAGAGACAATTTTCTGTCCCAGATTTTTTCCTGGAGAAGCACAGAGAGAAGAAGAGAAAACAATTCTTATCTCTACTTGCTCCTGTTGTTTTTGCATATGTGGAGTGTGTCAGGAAGGTTGTTTACCTGAAAGGATTTGGTAATTGGATGCTGGTGATAGTTGTTTATATTGATTACCCAATCACTCAAAGCTGTGTCCTGACTGCCAGGAGTTTTCTTTAGTATGTAATTTAGTATAGTAGAGTATCTCTTTAGTATAGTATAATGCAATATAATATAGTATTAATAAAGCATTTTTTCAGAATTCTGAATCAATAGAGTCAGATATCAATAATTCGTCATGTTGGGGTCGCCTTGAATTCAATATCAGAACCTTAAGGCTCATTTGTTGTTTGAGTTTCTATGGGGTTGGACTGAGGAGGAAATTTGGTTTTCCATGAACGGATCGCTGGTGCTACAGAGGTTTCCATTAGGCTCGGGAGAGAGAAGTGATGATGTTGCTGGAATACTTCTCCTTCCTTTGAGAAACTCCATGTGAGGCTTTTACTTCCTCTTGCCTGCAGAGGCAGAAGGAATTATTCAAGCCTGGGCTTCTTTCATTGCCAATCCTCACAAGAATTTTCCATACTTTATCAAATCACTTGGCTAACATACTTGCAAACTAATTTATATTCACAGGCTAGGAGCTCTGACAGCTAAAGCAATTTATTTTATTCGACATATGAAAAATGTGTAATTGCCTAATAAATACAATACTGTTTTTTTCTGCAATCATGTAGCCCTTCACTTCCTGCTCAGGCATACAGAACAACTTAATTAAAAGAAGGAGATGCAGAGATTGCTCAGAGATTGCTGGAAAGTCAGCTGAGCTTCCCTTAGGGATTAGTGGATATGCCCATGGCTCCCTGACGGGATCCCTGGAATGAACCAATCCTTCTCTCTGGTTTTAGGGCTGAATTTCCCACATGGCTGCCTCGATGGATTGTGAACCTGCTCTTGACATTAGACAACAGAGGCACACAAAACAACTCTCAGGGAAATAAGGACCATAAGATAAGGACACACTGCCTTCAGTTGCAAAAAGTTTGTGGAGATATTAAGCAGGAGTGCTTTCTTCAGTTTATATTTTTATAACTTAATTTATCTATGTATACATATATGCATATACACACACACACATGCATATACATATTAAAATCAAGCAACAAGAACCTTCACTTTAACATCCAAACCTATTAATTCCTTTCCTATTAAAAAAAAAAAAAAGAAGAAAAAAGAGCCTTTTATGGTTTTAATAACATCTGTTGCTAGCTTAATAATTTCATTCAAGCTTGGCTATTTAATTAACATGAGTGTTTGATCTTCTGGCTTTTTTGCCATTAATATAGCCCAAGCAAGAGAAGCTGAGGGATGGCTTCATTTGTACTGCATACAGCTGGCTGCTATTAAAGCTAAACCAAGCAAGTGAAGCTTGTTTAATATCCAGTTAATTAGCAGCACAGTGAGATATTGACAAGATTTGCTGGGCTTGTTAGCTCAGTTTGCAGGCTTATTAGCAAAAGGCTTGTGGTGGTGCAGTGCCAATCCATTTCATCCCAGCCTGGCTGGCAGGCTGGGTCCTGTGAGGTCATGGAAAGCAGCTCCCTGTGCACCAACTTTTCTTTCCAACTTCTCAGCTGTCAGCAAAGCTGGCCATGGGTGTAAAGGCACGTTTTTTTCTCCTGACCTACTGGAATGGGGCTGATGTCATGCTTTTAAGTGTCTGTGCTTGGACTTGCCTTGAAAGAGAAGAGGTTTTTGCAGAGATTGCTAACAAAAGAAACCTCTAAACCTGAAGGTAAACCTCAGGCTCTGTCATTACCCCTCATTTATTACCAAAGTAGGGATGGAAATGACCACACTGGTGCCAGTCAGGTGGCTCTCAGAGCCTTTTACTTCTATAAAAGCTAATCCTACAGATTTTCTTTGTTCAAATTCTTCTCTTCAGCTGATGGTGACAGAGATGATTTACAGTCCATATCAGTGCCTGCAATTCTTGCAGTTGATTTTTTAGACTAGCAAGATCTCTTTAGGGTTTTTTTTTTGGTTGTTTTTTTTTTTTTTCAACAACACTGAACATTAAGCTACAGTATATATTTGAGTTGGCTTGTCCTTGTCTTGTAACGTAAGGAAATATTTATTAAAGGCACTGTATGAAGACAGCTGGTAATTAGTTATCTACAAATAAGTTTACTCTTGGATGCAAATTCATGGAAGTGCTAATGAATTTGTAGATCAAGTTTCTACAGTTGTGTTATTTTAGGAACTATGTCTGTAAGAGAAAGGAAAAAAAAAAAATCTTCCCCAAACACATCTATGCAACTTGGCTGACATGCAAATACCTCATTGCCTACTATAAATAGCAGGTGACAGAATGCATGTCTTCAGTCATCATTCAAGAGATAAAATACAGTCAAGGAATAAAATACAAAATTAACAAGCTCAGTAGTTTTATCCTAAAGAGGGACAGCAATGACATTAAAAAAATAAGCATTATAAGATTACAGATAACACTTGCCAAAAAGTAGAGATGGGAGAAAAAAACATAAGCTTTGCTTCAAACACTCACCAGTTATAGGGGAGCTTTCCATCTCTCTCCAAAGATGCGAAATTCACAAAGGTGCCAGCCCCACACTCCCTGTTCCAGGAAGACCATTAGGTAAAAAGTTACTATTTTTGGATTCACAACACTTGCAAAGAGCTTGATTTAACAGAGAACTCTTGGAGTTGCAGGGAAGTGCTGAACACTCACATCTGTGACTAGGTCTGAGATAATCTGTAATGAACATAACTAAAACCCATTACTGTGGTTGCCTAAAACCAATAAATGTTTAACACCACCTGAGATCAAATTGCCTAAAAATGCTTCAAAAGAATGAAATTCTCAAATTTCTTATCCTCTGTCCAGATTTGTGCTTTCCATAGCATGGCACTGGCCTCAGTGCACAGCTTAAATATTTACCTTCTACACTAAATATTCATTGTCCCCACTCTAAGTTGTTTAATTGTAGCCTTTTTACAGGATAATTATAGGTAATTTTGAGTCATGAAAATAACTGTAGGGAAAAAAAAATCCTGAATAACATTCTAGTAGTGTCTTTATCACAAATCCATTATTTTTAGCTATAAATTATAAAGTAACTTGACTATTTTCTTGATTTAAGCAAACAATTGCTTGCAGCTTGTTTCTGGATTTATTTTTTTAAATTTCCTTCTGGAGTGTTTATCTTCTGTGGCTAGAAGCAGTGATGAAGAGAAAAAGCTTTGGGCTGGCTGCACAGTAATTAAATAGAAAAGACAATTAATTTAGCTGGGATTTTCAGAGCCAGATACATGCCAAAGGAACAAACCATACAATCTTTTCTTAAAAAGATAACTTGAAACATATGTGTGATGTGGTCATCTATTGCATGGAATATATAGACAAGATACAGCACACAAAATCCAGCATCTACTAGGTTGTTAAGTACACGACTTTTTACATAAGTTTTTTCTACATGAAATAATTTCCTTTCTTGACACAGTACAGTAAATTAATATAAAATATATTATATAGATTATAAAAAGACAAAGACTCTGTGACATCTTCAAAACTAGTAGGTAAACCAATTATATGTATATACACAGAATATACAGGGTTTGGGAAAACTTCCTCAGCTCACGCAGGCCACAACAACAACCCCCATCAAGGTGAACTGTTGCAGGTAAGATTGCCTAGAAAAGGAAATTGAATTTCAATATTCAGGTACAAATGATTGGTGCAGAGTGGCAAACGGTGAGAGACTTTCTAGAACATGTTATTTTTAGGTATAGAAAAAATCTGTTCCAAACCATACCAAAGACTTGCAAAGAACCTTGATGGCCTCTTCATGCCCAGTTGCCTCAAATCCTAATTATCATTAATGTCCCTGGCACAACTCTTTTGTAATATGGGATTGCACTTATGGAATTGATCCTGCAAAGTTCAAAATAAGACACAGCTTGAGGCTTGTCAGTGAGGCCAAGATGTTTGTCAGTGTCTGGTTGGGGTTTTTTCAGATGTTTTGTTTTGTTATTTTTTGGTTTTTAGGTTTTTTTTGTTTGTTTTGTTGTTTTGTTTGGGGTTTTTTTTTTGGGTTTTTTTTTTGTTTGGTTTTGTTTGGTGGATTTTTGGTTGGGTTGTTTTTTTTTTGTTGTTTGCTTGGGGTTTTTTGTTTTGTTGTTTTTTTCTTTTTGTAGTTAGCAGAAATCCTGACTTACCTGGCCATTTGTAGGTGTTTTCTCCTGAGGACAACAAGAGTGACCAGCAGCAGCCCAATCAGGAGGATGCTGAGGATGGCCAACACGGAGATTACCACGACATTGGGGTTCATCTCAGTGACTGTGCATACAGAAAATGGCTCTCAGTTATTCAGTTCAGAAGCATTGACATTTTTCCTTGGTTTTGTTTTTCCCTGAGTTTTGATAATGTTATTTTTTTAAACTTATCTCAAAGAGCCTGGAGTGTTAGAGAGAGAAAAATCTACCACAGGAGATAAGGGGAGAGTTTGAGAAGCTATTGCTCTTAGAAAATTTCTTTGGGGAAATGCGTTCACTCTGGCATTTTTGTTAAACTTTAACATGTTCTGATTTATTATTTTTTTCCTCTTTAGCTGACATTTATAACACAAGGGAAAACGGTGAAGGTAATACAAAATACAGATATTCATCATCATCTATGTCTCCAAAGCACATTTCCACTCTGAAGTTGTTCTTCAACAATAATCAATGCTTTTTCTGACCCAGAAGCAAAATAATAAACTGGGGATTTATAACATACTGGGTGGAAATTGCTTAATTACTCTGGAAAATGGCATCCCCAGGGACTCTTCCTCAGGAGCCTTTTGACTGTGACTGCTGAGTATCCTGCAGAGCCTTTCTTCTCTCTTACTTCTTTGCTGAATGCAGGAAGCCTTAGCAGCTTATGAATGTGATTTTCCTCTTGTTTGGGCTTGACTGAGAAAATATTTTTCTCCATAAATATCATCAAGCAGTTGATGTTAGTATTGCCTGAACCTGATGTTTAGTATTGACACCACAAACTCCACCCCTGATTTCTGAAACCCAGTCCAGAACTGAGCCCCTAGTTTATATTTTCCAAGAGCTTCCCAAAGCTGCTCCCCATCCCATCCACACCTGGCAGCCTTTCCATGGCACAAACAGCCCCTGGGGCCAGCATTACAAACAGCAGCTTTAGAAAGCAAGGGGGAATGTGGCATTCACATTCTCTGAAAAATCCCTTCACCCAGGATTTTTCTCCTGGGAAGATGAGAAGCCTCAGAGAAAAGGAAAACAATTTTATCTCATTTGCTTCTCCTGTGTTGTGCTCACATTTGGAATGTGTTTGGAGATTGTTTCATTGGTTTCATGTGAGCTGTTTTGACTCATTGGCCAATTGGGGCCAAGCTGGGCTCTGGAAAGCGTAATGAGTTTTCACTATTATCTTTTTAGTCTTCTGTAAGTATCCTTTCTCTATTCTTTAGTATAGTTTAGTACAGTATTCTTTAGTATAATATAGTATTATAAAATAATAAATTAGCCTTCTGAGAACATGGAGTCAGATTCATCATTCCTTCCTTTGTTTGGGGGCAATGCAAATACAATAGGGGAACAGATGTAGCTGGGTGAGGAAGAAAGCAGGGAAGTGCTGCTTACCCATGGTGGAAACTGCGATGAAGGTGGGGATGCTGGGGCTGTTGTGGCTGAAGGTGGTCACGCTGCAGTTGTAGGAAGTGGCAGGGGTCAGGCTGGAAATGGTCACAACGTGTGAGGAGACAGTGACAGGCTCCTGCAGACACAGGGAAAAACACACAGGGGTTTGTGTCTCCCGTGAATGCCAGAGCACAAATCAGTGTTTGTGTATCTGACAGGTAAAGTCAGATCTGGTGGAAGAAATCAGCACTTTGAAACACAGGAAAGGCAGCCAGAGCCTGCCCTTGACAGCAGGCAGATAGTCTGGCAGAAAACAGGAGAGGAGCAGGGGTGAATGCAGCTGCAAGAACACCCCAGAGCACTCCAGGGACCCCAGAGCCTTTGGGGAGGGAAGGACACGTGCCCCAGAGTGGGTTGGTTGGTCAAGCACGTGCTTGGCAGGGGAAAGCACTGAGACCTCCAGGACATCCCAGAGGTGGACACAGCTCGTGAGCTCTGGTTTCTGAGCCACACAGGTAGGAAAACCAAGCTATTTTTATTCAAAGAACAGCCAAGGCAGTCACAATCTCTGCCATGAATGAAATCAGAATTCTGGTTTGAATGCATGAAATCTCTGCCTCTGAGGCAGCTCCTCTGGGTGTGGAGACCTGTGAGCCCTTTTGAGTGGCCAAGGTAAAAAACAAAGCTAGAGCAAGGTCTTTTGTAATAATTATGATCAAACACCCTACACCTCAGTTTTTCTATCTGGCAGAAACTCTACACAACCTGTTTATACAATGTGTTCATTACTGTGACACTTGTGAACACTTTTGTGGATTTTAAATGCTGATAGAGCAAGAGAAAACAAACACATGCATTGACTTAAAGAAAGAGTTCCTTAAGGCTCTCTGTTTTCTGCATTGTCCAGCAGAAGCAGGAGTGGGTTACAGTGGTAAAAACACTGAGACAGTGGTAAAAACACTGTGACACTGAGCCAGTGATTTAGAAGGGAGAGAAGAAGTTTTGGGAATGAACCCACTCCAGATGGGGAATGCAAGGTGCTCTAACAAGTCCCAAGCACTGGATGTTTTCAAGAGCCTGTTGTCAGCCATGGCTAATCCTAAGATCCTGTTGCAAAGCAATTCTGAGGTACATTGTGCAGATGAAATCACATGAGTGTAAAGGAGGAGACTTTTTACTGCCCGAGCTGAAAGGAGGAGCCACAATTTGGCAATTGGACTTGGTTGGATGTTTCCATTTTCCCCTCGGAGAAATTTAAATTAGTCAACTCAAATCCAAGATGTTCAAAATCAGAAAGCTGTTGCTTTTCATTTCACTGATTTAAAGATGCAGGAAAGGGACAAAAAATGCTCATGTAATTGGCACGGAAAATCACAAAGAATTTTCACCAGCCTACTTGGAAAGCATCCCTTTTTACAGCTCAGAAAGGAGCCCCTCCCAGTTTTTCATGGAGACAGAAAAGAGAGTGGTGAATCTAATGAGGAGTGAGCTGACAGTCCCTCCATTTTCCAGTGCCAGATGTTCCTGTCAGCAATGAGACACCCACTGAAGCATCTGCCAGATGAAGCAGTCTTTTCCTGATGTTCTTAAAACAGATCTGCTCTGAACTGAATTTGCAAATCCTCTGGTGCTTTCCTTGCCTGATCCCATCAATATTTTGAATCTCTGGTAAGTGTTGATAATGACTTCACCACCTTTGCTATTCAGGGTGAAAAAGCAGGAATCTAGAGGTGGAATCTAAATGATCCAAAAAATTAAAGTGCATGCTAACGTTTTTTCTTCCTTTAGTCATTGCCTGTCTCAATTTTAAAAGAACATTAAATAATTCAGACTGATCTTCCATAGGATTAAAGAGTGTGCAGGTCTTTCCCATGTGTTAATCAGTGGTTTAAGTAGATAATTTTTCACTTCTTTCTCAATGATTCCCCCTTATGTGTCACAGTGCACATGAGAGAATAATGTTTTGTGCTGTGTAATCAGAGTGATTCATTATACCATCAGCTAAAGCACAAAGACTCACATGTTCAACAGTATTGAATGCCAAGGAATTAAAATTACTACTGCTCTCTGTTTTTCACTGAACAGCATCACCTGTTTAAATACTATATATTTAAATTTTCCACTGAGCACAGATACCTGACTGGACAGAGAGAAAACGAGGTTCATATGTGAGGCTCAGGAGGAGGATCTTGAAGACAATACCTTGAGGTAAAAATAATATAAAATGCATAAGGAGCAGCCACATTTGCATAAAGATAGTCTTGGAATAGCAAGGAAGCTCCTACTGAACTTCAGTTAGCAGATCTCAAAACCAGGAATAAAGTATTCCAGAAATAATTAGATACTGTATCAGAAATCTCATGGCATCTAAATATGCCTATTTTCCCCATTCCTCATGAAGCTACCTGACCAATTTTCACTTCTTGCTCATTGGCATTCCCTTAGTTTTGTGGCCTGTTAGGTTTTGCACAGTGATTCAGAGCCATTCCCATGTGCAGCCAGTCATACAACCTCATCAATAAGACAAAAGCCAACCTTAATATTGCAAAACAATGAAAATATTTTAGTATTTGAAGCTTACCTTTAGTAGTTTAGCTTTTAAAAGTTTAATTCTGGACACCAAAGGAGAGACACATACCTGGGCTTTTGTTTCCTGGCCAGACCCAGCCTGCTGGCAGTAGACTTCAAAGAAATCAGCTACTCCTTCTTCCACCCACAGCAGAGTCACAGAGGTCTGAGTCTTGTTGACAGCAAACAGTGATTTTGGAGGGGCTGGTTCTGGTGTAAGAGAAAAATCTCCTTTCATTAAGCTTATCTTTAAGTTTCCAGACAAGTGAGAAAAATGAAAAAACTGAAAGCAATGCCTGATGCCCTGCTATCTTTCATTTCCTTCAGATAAAGTCTACCAACGTAAACCCTCTCATGATGACAAACTACCACTGTAAAATGGGAAGATGATGAAGTGTGTTGGTTTTTCTTCTCTATTTAAACCGTTCTCTATTTGGACAGATGGATAATTACTTCACTTCCCTTTTCAGCAGAGCCCTTGCTCGAGGATGATCAGTGGATTCTATTAATAGAACAATGCTAGCAGGAACTCCTTCAGAGAAGATCCCTGTCCACCTGATAGCAACACATTTGGCCTGAGAAGGCTTTTCTTCACAAGGTTGCCCAGGAGACTATAAAGAAGCAGCTTTCTACAAGCAAGGCTGCCTAGGTTCCTTTAATTGCAACAGAGAAAATATTTAGCCAACTACCAGTTGAAAAAAATCCCAAACTTGTAGGTTTTTTTTTTTTAATTTTTGTTTTGTTTTGTTTTTGGAGTTTTTGTTGAGGTTTTCTTTGGGTTTTGGGTTTTTTATGGTTGCTTGTTTTGGTTTTTTTTGTTTTGATTTTGGGTTTGTTTTTTTTTCTCCTCTAGCATTTAAGGGCTACTGGATCTGTGTTGACTTCCATGGGTTCTAGGAATGCAGAGGTCCAGATCTCCAGAGGTCCTCAATGAATTACTTTGATTTTCATTGCTTTTGTGCTGGATGAAGTGACAATAGGCAAACAAATACAAGAGTCTGTTGAGCAGGGATAACCCTATGGCACAAGTGATAGATGGAGGGTCTCCTGGGAGTGATGGCCTCACAAATGTTGTGGAACATGGATGAGGGTCTGCACTGTCCTATCCTCATGTCCAAGTGGCCTTGGCTGCTGCCTCCAGGGCCCTCTCCCTGCCTATGGACCCCTGTGGAGGTCACCCCTCACTGTAACCACCCCCAAACCAACCTGGGAATGGAAGCACAGAAGAGTAGGGAAAATCTTGAGGACAAGGAGAGGAGCAAACAGCCTAAGAATAGTCCTGGTATGAGAGATACTTTTTCTCCTCAGTACTATTTAAACACCAATGCTTAATCCTGATATTCATCCTGATGATTTCACATGATGGGTACTGGAAATCCCTGGTTTTCCACACCTCAGGCCTCCTGGGGTCTTCTGCTTTGCCTTCAGAGACTGTAAAACTTGGGCTGTACATTTCTGGGTTCTTCTGAACAGCTTTCAGATCTCCTCTTCTGTGGATGTTTAATTAAAGCTGCAATTCTCAAACAATGGCCTGATTTCAGGATTCTGACACACTGCACACAATGGGTGATGCACAAGAACATTCTGGGTTGATTCTTTTTCCTTTCACAAATAGTTTGTTATCCTCTTTCTGTGAGATGCTGTCACAGGAACCTTGGCACAAGGGACTTGCTCAAGTAGTTATAGACATTTTGGAGATGCATCTGATCCTGAAACAATCAGATGTGTGTTCTGGGGTTGGAGTCTGCCCACGCCATTTCTTATGGAAAGAGCTGGGCAGGGACTGAGGCACATTCACGTGTGTCATGGGGCTTGCAGTGCACATCTTGTCCCAGAGCTACACAGGAAAGTGCCCCTCTCCCATAATTACACACACATATCTGCTCTTGGGCTCAGAAACACATTCCATTCCTCGCTCCAGGTAAAAAAAAACGGCCTCAATTAAAATAAGAGTTTTGCATTTGGGCAGCATCCCAAGCAAATCCTCCTTCTGCTTCCAGCAAATGGCTTGATTTTTCTGCAGGTGGAAAGTTGCCAGGATGAAGCAAACATCGTGGAGGGAAGAACATTTGGCAGGAATTCTTAAGTGACTGCCAAGTGCTGAGTCGTCTATCACTTAGAGTCAGTTTCCACTACTGCTAATTACAACTCCCATTGCTCCCCTCCGAAACAGAGAGAGGGAAAACCTCTGGCAAAATATCCTCACTTTTGTCTATGCAAAGTTCAAACATCATAAATGGGAAAAAAATAAAATCTAACTCAGTCCAACTAAAAAAAATACCCCACAACCAAAAGTCTGGAAGGGATTCATTGAAATGGAATTAATTCTGCCTTCTCTTTGTTGACACTGAGGGGCAAAATACCCTAAAATATTTGAGCAGTGGTAGCAGGGGGTAATACTCACCCCCACACATTGACCCACTCAGTGGGTGAACAAATACACACAGGCAACTGCACAGGCACAAGGCATGGGGAAAACATGGATATGGTTTGCACAGGGAAAAGAAAACTCGAGGAATTTGTCTACTTCTTTCAAATACTGCCTTTGGTAAGAAGACCTGCAAGAACTTCAGATTGTTGTGTCTGTGCTGTTTGCCTCAGCACTGTGGGTAAGACTTCTGAGAAACATAAATGGAAGATGGGGTTTTTTTTAGACCTCTAATCCCATTAGAAATTATAGAGTCCTTCTCTCACAGTGACTCACAAAAGGATTATTATTCATGTAGAGAGGATAATTCACTCTGAAATTACAAACTCTTCCTTCCCCACCTTCTCAGCAGAGCTAACACCTGTAAAAGCAGTTTTGCACACTTGGAAATTTCAGTGTTTTAGGTAACTAGGGCTCAACAACTCCACATATACTCAAAAGAGAACTAAAATTTCTTAAGGTACAATGCTGCAGTGTCCAGTCTTCTTGCCAAGTAAAGAAAGATATTAGGAAGAAAGTTACATTTGAAACTCTTACATTAAGGATCAAACTCTCAAGTTTTCTTTTGTTTCTATGAGTATATTAAAAAATTTCTCTTAAAATGAAGATGGGTTCTACATTCACAAATCTGACTATTTTTATAAAGAGTTCTATCATTAACTTGTATTTAAGGGTAAGTTTTTGGTGTTGAAAGATTTTGCAGATGTCCAGAGAAAGAGGAGGGGAGACAGAAAAGCAGACCAAGTGGCAGAGAGGTGTAGAAATAGGCTTGTCAGAAACAGAAAGGTAGAAAGGAAGGTTCTACTTTTTACTGAAAAGTTCACCTGTGAAGCCTGAGTTGCCATCCTCAAACCCTACATGTGTTCAAGACCTTAGGCAAGCAACTATGAAGTTGACCTGTTCTCCCAGCAAGGCACCAAGTGATTTCCTCTCTCCTACTTCCACTTACACTCAAATTTTGCCACTCTTGCTCCTCTTGAGCAAAACCATTTTAGGAGAGTGGCTTCACACACAGGCACGAGACAATCTTCACAGCAAGGTCAGGTGAAAATTACAGCTTTGCAAGAGAAATGGGCTCAGAGGTACATAACTGAAATAAGGAAGGTGCTGACAGAGTCACTTTAGAGCCAAATGAGTGGGATGAGTTAATGAGATACAAACAAGCGTTTCTTACCCAATTTCACAAGCTGGGGCATGGAAGTATTGCTGCCTCTTTCAGTACAAGCAGTCACTGAGAGGTTGTAAATGTCCCCTGGAGGCAAGCTCAGCACTGCAGTCATCACATTGCGTGTCACCTGGACAATCAAGAGACACCAGCTTAAACACAACACAAACCATACAACTGCCTCCTAAAATTGACCTGGTCACTCAAAACACTACAGAGAAATTCCTGTGCATCACAGCAGATGTCTTCTGTGTGCTGCAGACGTGTGACATCAACCAGTTCACACCGATACCAACCACAAAACCAGATTAGCCCAATGTAAAAAAAAGACAATTTTAGGCTTCACTTTCTATGTGACCAGTGGAAATGTAAGGAAAAAAGAAATTCTCCCTAGATTTCTTAAGGGTGCAAATCTAGATTTCTCAAGGGTGCAAAATGCTGAACAAGCCATGAACTTGAGTCTATTACAATTTTAAAGGAATTTAAATCAGGTCAGATGCCTCAAAGAAGAGCACACAAGCCATGTGTAGGCAAGCTTTTATACATCCTACAGACCTGAAAATTAAATCCATCTGGGCAAGGCTAACACCTCTTGGAGACCTTGACAAGAGATCTCAGGGTCTGACTTCAATCATCTGCAAGTTTGAAACCAGATCCTAAACGGAGCTGAGTCTCAAAAGACTGAGAATAACTTCTTCCTTTTATTTTCAGGTAATCTTCCCATTTCTCCAGAGTCATGGAGAAGGATGCAGAACTTGGAACACACTGTTTTCACAGCACTTCTGGACTACCTATAAATGTCCCATCCAGGAATCTCATGCTGGTTTTCAGAGACATGTAATTCTTAGGCTGAAGCTTTCAGATGGAAGAGAAACTGATATTTCTGAATAAAGACCAATAGGGCTTTGCACATAATTTTCAACACTTCTCTAAAAACTGACCAACTTCTGGCAAATACACAGGGAGCAGGAAGAAAAAGTCAGCATTGCCTGACAGTGTTACCTATTTATTTCAATAACACCACAAGAAAAACAACCATATTTGCAATCATAATAAAATCCTATTATGATATTACAATATAGTGTGAGTTTTAAAGGAAACAGGTCCTGGAAGTGACTAACAGAGCTTGGGGGAAGAGGCGCCCTGATGCCTGCAGGCATGTACCCATACTTATTCATATGAACAGAACCATAAAAGTTAGCTATAAATAGGAAGGTTTTTGCAGGATTTTCCTAAAAAATACCCTCTGAGTTCCCTTGTCTTACAAGGAATGTAAAGACAAACATTTGAAAAGACATCCCTAAAGTTTTAAAGTTTTATTTATAGATATTCGGTATTATAGATACCCTCTACTTTTAATACCTTGTTTAATCTAAAATTACATATTGAATTTTGGGTTTAATTTATTTAAATTTTCACAATAAACGTTTATTTTATATTTATTTAATCTACTATTTTCTCATTCAGTGCAGTTGGATGGTAGAGAAATCAGATTTTTGCTGAAAGAATAAGCTTACAGAAAACATGACTTTTTGAAGGAAGAGAGGGATATAATTGTGATTTTTTAAAAATCAGATTGATAGAATATTTTAATTGTAGGACAAAAATTAAAGTCTAGGTTTTTTTCCTTGTTTGAAGTAAGAATCTAAATCCTAAAAGCTGCTGCTGCTCAGAAAGGTGATCAATTCTCCTCTTCATATAATTAGATTCATGCTGCAACAACTTCCAGGTGGGTGCACACTTGCAGCCACAAGGAATCTAATGAAAGCTAGGATGTTCCACACAAATCCACATGAAAATCAGTGATCAATTTGCAATTCTTCTGAAAATACACTTCAAATTTTCCAAATGTTCAAGAGAATGTACCAAGAGCGCACCTTAGCATCTAGCAAGTTTTCTAAGTGCACACATTCTGGGTGAAATCCTCATTCCACCAATGAGTGGAATAAAATAAAATAAATAAAATAAAATAAATAAAATAAAATAAAATAAAATAAAATAAAATAAAATAAAATAAAATAAAATAAAATAAAATAATAAAACATAAAGAACACAGAATTTATGAAGATAAAGTCACAAAATGGGAAACTACAGTACTTGAACAAACAAAAACAATTCAGCCAGTAGCTTACTGGGATTGTCAATAAATTAAAATGGAAAATACCATACCTGTGTATAAGAATAATGTTTATGTTTTACTGTCTGAAGCTGAGAAGTCTTTAAACTCTTTTTAAATTACATAAATTATCAACACTTTCACTGGATCACTACAGAAACACTTTGCCCTCTGGCTGTTTTGAGAGCTCAAGTCTTTCAAAGTCATCTAACACTGGGAAATAACTTTTACTGGCTTCTACCAAACTTGCTGGAACTTAGTAATACAAAGTTATCAGAGCTGTCAAAGTTTTTCTTAGTTACCAACTCAGAAAAACAAACCAATCAACATAAACCCACCAAAAAAAAAAAAAAAAAAAAAAAAAAAAAAAAAAAAAAAAAAGAAAAAAAAAAAGAAAAAAAAACCCCAAAAAACTCAAAGAACTGAACACCACCCACTTTCCACACTGATACTTACACTCTTCTTGATTTTTTTCTTTCCTTCTGCAACAACCATCCAGTGCAGCATCCTAAAAAAAAAAAGAAAAGAAAAAAACCCCCAAAAACTCAAAGAATTGAACACCACCCACTTTCCACACTGATACTTACACTCTTCTTGATTTTTTTCTTTCCTTCTGCAACAACCATCCAGTGCAGCATCCTGGAATGCGAAAGGTCAGGGCCATCTCCTCCATAGGTCCAGGTGATGTACAGAAGGTGGTTGTAATACTCTACAGAGGTAATTTTGGGTGCCACAGGTGCTGAAGGAAGAAGACAAGTGTGTTACAGACAGGGACTAACACAGCTGATTGGTAAATCCAGTGATAAACTTGTGCCAAAGGATGCTGTCATGAGGAGAATATCACAAAGCTAGCAGGAAAGCAGCATTAAAACCATTTGAGCCCTAGCTGGAAGATATGAAAGCCATTGTTTGACCTGGGAGATAATCAGAACAAAAATACACTTATTTTTACAATCTTTCAGTAAAAAAAAAATCACGGCAGATAAAAGTAATTTCTGAAGTCACATTTGTAAGTCAAATTCAAGTTAAAAGCTTCAGATCTTGCTTCACTGTGTCACTGAACTGAAAAGAAATAATAAATTGTTACATTGATAGGTTTTCCATAGGGAAAAATATATTTTCACCGAGCTTGCATCTTTCTAGGAGGAAAAGCCCAAACCCTGCAGATTTCCAAAGAACAACTTTTGCATGAGAAGTTATGACCACTCTTGTTCCCTGGGTGGAAGGGAGGGAAAAAGGGCCCCATCACAACCCTGTTAGGATGGATTTTTTCTTCTGGAGCTGCCAGCAAGTCCTTGGCTCTCTCTGCAGCCCACATAACATAGAGTCACTCCTGCTGGAAAGGACATTTAAGACTGAGACCAATCCTTAACCCAGCAGTGCCACATCCACCACCAAACCGTGTCCCTCAACTCCACACCCACGTGTCTTTCCAACACCCCCAGGGACTGGGACTCAGCCACCTTCCCAGCTGGGACCTGCAGAAAGACAGCAGCCTCCAGAATAACCTTAAAAACCTCAAAAATAACACTAAAGTCAGTGTTTAAGATGATGATTCCCTCTGGGGAATCCTCTCCATTCACTGTAGAGGGAGCACAGCTCACCTTGATTGCCTGATTCAAGGTGCAGGAGCCCAGCAAAGAGTTAAATTAATAGTGAATTGAGACTCAAAAGTGAAAATCTCAATCAGTGAGGATCTCAACCCCCTCCCAAGGAGATATGAGTAGGATAATTTGAATACTACAGGGAAAGGAATGGATCTCAGTGCTTGGCCGATTTTGGAGGAGCACAGTGGGGAAGATGGTGTGCACTGCCTGGTCTTCCTCTGCTCAAGCCCTGCTGTGTCCAGTGTGTTTGTGCCAGGGCAGGCCAGAGGAGCAGAGCCCTGGGTGCCAGGGAATGCAGGATGGCCTCGGAAAGGGCCACAAGATGTCACTGCTGCTTTCACGAAGTTTCCTTCCACTTTGGCATTGAGACTTCACTGAAGCAAGGCAGCAAATGCAATGCACAGACAATTTAGGGCCATTTAGAAATGTTTAATAAGATTATTCTCCCAAATTAATCTTGAAAATATCCTTTTATGCTGCTGAGGAGATGTAGTATAAAATCCTTGAAGCAGTGTTCTTGTAATTTTTAAAGTTCCCAGCCCATCCCTGTGCATCCTTGCAGTTTAAGGCCATGACTGACATGGATCTCATACACAAATTATGATTTCCCCCTGCACTTTTCTATTGATGGTATGCTTCCATGACAGTGAAAGTCCAGGATATGTCACATGAGACCAAGGGCAGGGCTGGTGTGACCCACACCCCTAGCACAAGGTTCTGGGGAGCACAGGGAGGCTGTGGGAGTCACACCCTGCTGCTGCCCTGCACCAGAGTGACAGCTGGCAGCACCCAGGGACCAACGGCAGCACCCGTGGTGGCAGCCAGCAGCACCCAGAGCCTGTCTTCCTCACTCCTCCTGCTTCTCCAAAGATAAAACCATGCTCACTGTAAAAAGCAAGTGCTGGTGGTCCAAAGAGCCCTGGCTCGTGGTTGTTTTAAATCCAGCTGTTTACAGCAGGTGGCATTAAAAACTCATTAGTCACCACAGCAACCCTGGCAGCGCCACCATCTCTCCCTGAGTAAAAAACCAGCGTGCAACTGCTGCTGCAGGAGCTGAGAGGACAAATGCTGCTTCTGAGAAGTCTCTTGGATCCCCCAAATCTCCTCTCTGTAGCTGTGGGAGAGAGCTCCATCTCATCATCCCAAGTGCTGCAGCTCAGTACAGCCCCAGGAGCAGTGGCATCCTGCGCTAGGGAATGTCTGCTCTGAGCTCCTACAAGCTGCAGCCTCAAACTCCCAGCTGAGCCTTCCACTCTGATTTGGAAACTCAAGTTTATGCTCCAGGTGTGGATGTTGGCTCTCCAGTTATACACAGAAGAACTGACAGATGGTGCACTGTCAAGCCTACAAAACCTCCACTCCAGTATTTTTAAAATACAGGGGTTTTGGTGGGTTTGTTTGTTTAATTCCTGGCAACCTGTGCAAGGGAGGTGGCATTGCTCAAAATTATGCAGAAAGGGACCAAGTGCTCCATAAAGCCATCTGCTCCCCATCTGGGTGGAAAGAGGCTGAGGGTGAGAAAGAACTCTCAGTCCCCTGGTAGCTTAAATTCGTGAAAAGGCAGCACCTACTGGGGACAAACTTTTCAAACCTGCAGATATGACAAACTGGCAAGCCTCACAAGTCAGCCTGGCTGCAGTTCCGGGGCAAAGCCGAAGAGATTGCAAGTAATGAGGCAATCAGAGGACAGGAGTGCATTTAATGTCACATTCAGCACTGACCATCTATTGGAAAGTGCTTGCAATTTGACCAAATCAGCTTTCTTTGTTAGGGCACTTCACTTAAACCACAGTGTGATTTTAATACCTCATTGCTATTCAACATTTCCATCAACACCCTGAAAGGAAAAGGAAAAGGGTTGATGAACCATGCCAGGAGCATGGCAACTGGCAGAGGAGGGCAGGATTTGGACAGGGCTGAGTTTGAAATCTTGCCCCCTGCTCAAACAAAGTGAATTTCAAAGTGTCAGGTCTGTTGGAAAACAGCATGTAGACAACAAATGATCAATTCTGTTAGGAGCCATAAAATAGAAGTAAATCAACACAGACCTTCAGTGTGATGATGCAGGAAATACAATCATGTAGACATTTAGGTGCAAGCACAGGAGAGCTTTGAATAGGGAGCTGATTGTGCCTCTATAGGACTATTCAGCAGGCTGGCATTACACTTTCAGTTTTTGTGTACTTTGGTAAAGACAGAAAAAATTAGAGAGAGAAAGTGGGGGAAAAAAAACTAACATGGGAAAACACCTAAAAGTGAGAGCACCTGAAGAGTTCAATGGAAGCAATTTATTAACAGAAAAAGCAAACTAAATTCTGTATAGAGACAAAAACAAAAAGGGCTTTTTGTCTCTTCAATGATGAAAGTGCAAAAAATATCTTGGACTGGACACTGAAACCAGAAAAATTCAGATCAGAAACACAGGGTATAAACTCTTGATATAAGAGAAATTAACCATTGATGCAACATTCCAGTTGGATATTTTCACTGAAAACCAGATGACCGTCTCCAAGAGAGGTTTTGCCAGTCACAAATGGATGATGTTTAGAGGTTCATCCATTTCTGATTTTGTCTGCATCTGCTGGTTAAGAAGTTGATAAATTTTTACTTTAGCAGCAGTAGCAATCTTTCCTGTCATCACACAGAGATCCAGATTGGTATTGATGACAGATTACTTATTTGAAGACCCTTGATGTCCCTCATTTCTGCTGCAGGCTTTTGGAGATACAATACTGAAGTGAGTGTCCCACTGGAACACTTCCACTCTAAAATGCTGAACCTGGTACCCAAATCAGTTGGAAAAGACATTTTTTCCCTCATACAGCAACCAACCAGCTGGAAAATTGCTTCCTTACAGTGCTGCAGAAAAGCTGATTGATGCCAAAGGACAAGGAATACCCCTGGAGACCCCACAGGAGGTTACAGCTCTGATACACTGGAGGAATGCCAGAATTTGTCAGCAGAGCAGCCTGGGATCAGGTATCTCAGCATGAGAGGGTTTCTGGCTTTAACTGCTGCTGGCTTTTCTCTTGTGGCTCTCTGGGCCACAGGCTCTGTAAATCATCATTTTAAATGGGTCTTATTCAGTAACTCTTCCAGGTGCATTCTCTGGCTCTCCCCAAACAGAAAATCTGGGACTAGGCTAGTGTGTGCTTTGGAGTGAATGGCTGGGACATTACACCCTGATTTTCCTTCTAATTGGATTCCTACAGAGGGAAAAGGAGAGCAAGTATACTTCATTGCATCTCACAGTAAAACTGAATTATTTACTCATCTTCAGCAAGGTGAATCAAACGGTGACACTTGAAAGCAAAATGATTCAATGAAGAACTCTGACTTTGACCTAACCATCCTGGATGCTGGGGACATGTGGCAAGGTGCTAGCAGGACCTTTCTCATGCTGCTCCCACTATGGCTGATCTGTTGGACATATTAAAAATTTGAATCCAAAGAATCTGCCAAGAGATGCCAGAGTGTGTTAAATCCATGTCTGGTCCCAAGAGGAAGAGGGAAATCCCTGTGGTTGTATCAGCTCACCCATCTCAGTGCTGCACAAGTTGTGCTCTGACCTGGGGATTACTGGGAGAGTGAATAAAGGAGGAAAAAACACTTGGAAATATTGCAGATAAATGAAAAAGTGTTTGATAATATTTAGAAACATAAGAATTCAGGTTTACTAATTTACCTATTAGCTTCTCTACATGTCAAATGTATGGTGTGGTAAAAGTGGAGCAGGACCACTGGCCCTCAGAGGGGCTGAAGGAGAATTGCAACAGAGCAATCAAGCACTGTGCTTGTCATAGGAAAAATTCATTTATATATTCATTTCAAGCAGTCCTCAGAGACTTATAAACAAAATAGTAGAAAACTAAACACCAAAACCGACCAACCAAAAAAATAAAACCAAAAAACCCAAACCAAAAATCCAAAACCAAAACAAACAAAAAACCAAACCAAAACAAAACAGTGCCTCTGCCCCCAGGAGCACTCCCAGGGTGTTTCCAGCTGGCTGCTTACCTGTGATGAAGCTGATGGTGGAGCTGTCACAGCAGCTCAGCTCTGGGTCCCCCCAGGTGACCATGGTGACCCGGAAATTGTAGTACCAAGCAGGCAGCAGGTTGGCTATTCTCTGTAGAGGGACAAAACACAAAGAGCAGCTCAGGAGGGAACTCACCAGCATGAGGCAGGGCTTCTGAAACACAACAGTATTTATAAAACCAGTGCCCACAGTCATTTTTCTGAGCTCCCATTCCTTCCTTCAGTGGAAATCTCTGAAATTTGGCCTTTCAATTTACTAAAAAATCTGTGCAGGGGGAGCAAAACAGCTGTGATGGCTCTGCTGCTCACCCACATCCACCTGGTCACAGGTTCTGTCCATCACGGGAATCTCAAAGCATTTCCAGGGTGGTAAGAAGCATTCACACAGAGCAATCTTCCATCACAATTCCAGTGTGATGAAGGCAAAATATTTAAGTGGGAAATGTTGGTGTTCCTACTTGGATTAAATGGGGGTTGAGGATAAATTGGAAATTATGTTTTTGTCTCAGATATTGTCACTTTAAGAGACGTATTTTTTCCAAGTGTATTTCACTTCCTATTATCATTTATTATAAATGGAATAGGAATGAAACATAAATGACTTATGAGACATAAATTATATATGTAAATATAAATGAGATATAAATGAAATATAAAAAGCAATGGTTTATGTTATAGTATTGCATGTAATGTTTAAGTTAAAACTCTAATTCTTCCACTGACAGCACAGAACATTCAAGATATTGATGTCTAGATGAAAAGCCTCTTGATATTTTTAAAATTCAAAATAAAAGCAAATTGAAAATAGTGAACAACTTCAACAATGTAGAAATTGCTATTTTTGCAGATCTCTGCTGTTTGCAGTGACCTTTTTTCTCTGGATACTACAAGACAATGCAAATATAGGTGGTGGGATCTGTTCTTTTCATGATTTTTTGAAGAAGTTGTATCTACATTGACACCAAATCCTTGAAGATGATTGGACTTCTTCTGACATGCCCCTGGTGTCATATTGGAAATACCAACCTCACTTTGACACTTTGACAATTTTCAAGTCACTTGCAGAGCAGAAAATGAATGAAGCAACTAAACAGAGTGAAAAGACAAATCCAGTTCCAAAGGTTCTTATCAAATGTTAACCCTCCAGGAAATAATGCTTGATTATTTCATGCTGTTGACAACATTGATTTTTGATTCTTCTCATTCTTGCTTCAGAATACAGCACTCAGAGGTGTCAGCAGGGATCAGAGGGATTCTGGAGCACCATTAGAGAACCCAAACCAAAGTCCACCACTCCCTACCTGTACATTAAATGCCACAACAGAATAATAGGGAAACATTCCTTTCCTAATTCAGGATTAGGCTTTAAAATTATCCCTGAAGAAATGCTCACTTTAGCTGTGATACAGCACTGTTGCATTTCAGATTGAAATCCAGACAAAGCAATTCCAACTTGGCTTCCTTGAGCAGGATTTGCAACAGTGAGGGACAACATCATCTCCTTTCCTAATGAACAACATTACCTCTGCATGATAGCTTTATTTCTTGGTTCACTTAGATCACTCAGCTATCAATCTATTTGTGCTGAGTCATGATTACAAGATATTAATTACCAGTTTGGTAAGTTATTTTTGTTTTTAATTTCCCTGGAGATTTATGTGTTAGATTTATAGTCACATACCCAATTAAAGTAAAGCTGCTGGAGCCAAAATGACTCCACAAATGGTATTATGCAAATCAATTACAGTAAATCACTGTGGCTCTCTCCAGCAGCAGAAGTTATTGCTATCTTTTTTGCATACTCATAACTTTCTTGAACAACTAATTTCAGCTAGAATTGCTTTCTGTCTTGCACAACAACAAAGTCTGAATAAAATCTTTTCACCTTCTCCAGAAAATAATGGGAAAGGGAAAGAAAATTTCAGTTTATACCTGCAAGGACACCTGTGAATATAAGTGTGAGTGTGCTCTTATAGAGACCAGTGTTCACCTAGTAAAAACCCTGGCCTAAGATTTGGCAGCTTCAGAAACATGAAGGCATTTTTTCACAAAAAAAAAAAACAGGGCTAAGCCTTCCACATGGCACACTGAGAGACCAGCCTGCAAGCCCCAAATCCATACTATCAATATTAATTATGTAGATAAGCCTTTGCACTGCGCCCCCCGAGGAGATGATGGAACTTTTAAAGCCTTGACTGACAAATTGACCCACAAACTGAAGCTGCCTCTGGACTTGCTGAACAACAACAAAGCAAAAAAAAAAGAGGCTAAACTCCTGTCTCATTGCTCTGCTTGAAATTTAGCATGGTTCAGCTGGCAGTGCCTTACTTTAGAAGAGAAAATGCCTCCAGCACCCTTGGTCATTTTCTCTGCTTTACTGGGGAAAAAAAAAAAGTGTCAGGCTTAAAGGCATGCATATATATACATATTCATGGGGAAAAGAAGTGTCACAAGGCGCCAGGGCCACACAGGCAAGGGAAAGCAAGGCAGGAATGGTCACTGTACCACTGAGGCAGTCAAGGAGACAGTTGCTGCTATTTCATAGTAGGTTGTCCACTCCGAGGTCATGGTTGATGGGTTGAAGTAAAACATTTCCACCACGTATTTCCTGAACACCCCCAGGAAAGGTCTGTTCCAGCTCAGAACCACAGCAGTGGGTCCCAAAGGGTAAAGTGTCAGATCCTTTATTCCAGTGGGCACTATAAAGCAGAAATTATGGTTAGTAACGTGCATGTGTTAGCAGCTGCACTTTATTTTAAAATGATACCTTTCCTTAATCAAATTCTGCCTATTTCTGACTTTAATCCTCATGAACTTCCTGGTCACAAGCAGCTGAATACCATTTTTTAAGCACTTGTTCTCCAGTTTAAAACTCCTTTTTCAGAAGTGGCTACAGAGCACTTGGTGTTGGCTGCTTAGCTGGAGGTAAAGTCACATCTCACTTTCTCACATAAATGGAGGGTTCTATTCTACTTTGAAAATCAGGGTGCTCAGGAGATATTTCAAGATGCTCAAAACCAAAAGCATCAAAAGCCAGAGCACTGTAAGAAAGGAAAGTTTTCATCTCCAGCCCTCCTTCCCTGGGGAACCCAAAGGCTCTGTCATGCATTGCTATTCCTGCCTCACCGACAGTGACACTGAGAAAGAGTCAAGTGATTTCAAGAATGTCACATCAAGGGTCAACTTCTGCAGCCTGCATGGTCTGGAAAGCAATTATTCTCCATGATTTCACTGAGGCTACTTAAATAAGGGCTCAGAGCTAACATTTGCCAGGGCTGCAGAGCCCCAGCTATTGCACACCGGGTCAGAACCCAGAGCAGCACCCAGGTTCCTTCAGCCCATGTTAGCACATGGCTTTGCCTTTCTAAATCATTTACCACGTCTTTGCTTTGCTTTCTCTGAACTGCTGATCCTCACCCTGTGAAAATGAGCCTTAGGATAAATGTGGGGAGAAAGGAATACTTTTTGAAGTGCACTTTATTTTATTTGAGTTTCATTTGTCGTTAGCCACCACTGGTAAGTTCACAGAAGAATTTGTTTTTCAGTTCTATTATTTTAGTATCGTATTCAATAAACTGTTGTGAAATGAAAACTCGTACAGCTGTTGTTTTACTGCATCAAAACACCCCTTCATAATATGAAAGTTATGAGATGTTCTATTTAGAAACTCATTGTCATTTTCAGTTTTGTAAGAAACTTTCATGGTTGTGAGGCCATAAAGTGGAGAAAATGAAGGAACTTATTTACTTTGGGTATACATGATTTTACTTTCACAAATAAAAGTAGAATTTTTTAGACTTTTGAATTACAGTGAGAAAAAAGAGCAAAAGCATTTGTGAGAACTGTCCAATGACAGAAATTTCAACATTAAAGTATATATAAATATTGAAATACCAATTTTTCCTTTCCTGAAATATAGCATACTTCACAAATTTTTATTCAGACCAAATTTATGAAAATATATAAGAAGATTGACTAGAATGAAAAGGCTGTCACCATAATCACTAGACCACATAGTGGCTTTTATTTAAGGATTAAATTCTTAACAGGATAACATTTTTTTTCCTGTTTCACTTTCTTCCCTACATCACAGAGAGGAAGCAGCATTAAAAATACTGAAGATCTCTAAGTTTCAGCCACCTGCTGTCCCACTGAGCAGGCTTTTTGTCAAAAGGAGAAGCTGGGTGACACAGGTTGAATATTTATCTGCAAATGTAACTCTGTACACTGAATCTTTTTTCCCCTCTCTCTGCTTATATACATTTTTGTTTAAGTGGTAATCTTAACAAAATTAATTACACTGAAACTAAAAGTAATTGAATTCTGTCCTAAATGACCCTTTGTAGGAGCCTAGTGGAATCCTAAATTACAGGTATGGGGGCAGCAGCTCTGCCTGTTGGACATAAAACCACATTCTCAAAAATACTAGTGTCAGTCTCAGAGGGCTCTTCTCATTTTCAAATCCCAAAGCAGAGAACACTGAGACCCACTCTTTAACTTGAGAAAATCTAGGTGTGGTCTACAGGACTTAATGAACATATTACATATTAAAAAAACCCAACAAAACAACAAACCCTGAAAAGAAATAAATGCATTTCAATCAGTAGGTTCAGGGTTTACCAATGGAAAATGTGACAGGATCAGAGGGAGGTCCAACCAAAGGTCCTTTCCGTAGGTAAACCACAACTTGGTACTGAGCACCAGGAACAAGATTTTCAATGAGGCTGCTGCTGGAATTCACCTAGGAGGAGAGGATCTCATCAGATATGCAGCATTTACTTGGTTAATAAAAGAGTATTGAGACTGTACTTGAATGGCTTCAGTTACAAAAGGCATGAATCCAAACACACTGGCAGCAAGAGCTCCATTCATTCAGCCCCACGTGGCAAAACTGTGGCAGTGGTCAGGACTGACCTCACAAATTCTGAATCAGGGAATTGCACTTGCCTGGCTGCAGAAGGTCAGCTACCTCACTGCAGACCCACTCTCTCCTACTGTCAAAGGTTATGACAATATTCAGGCTACGGTATTCATTTTCAGGTGGTGTTATTCAGGCTGGAGTATTTAGACCACATGTTTTCAATTAGAGCCTGAGGCTTTCCATCCATCATTGATGCAGCTCTGTGAGCTGAAGGCAGCTTTTTGGGGAATCTGTCCTCTGACTGCAATTACTGAATGACTCCACAGTGAAATCAGAGAGGAAATATTCTCTGTCACCTCCCCTCCAAAGCACTACAAACTGTAACTTAGGGGCATTGTGATTTTTCATTTCAGTTTCAAAACATCACCGTTGAAATTTCTGCTGTGCCACACCAGGATTCAGTCAGAGCTGGAGGCAGAATTCCTGACCAAGTGACTCCTGGTCTGATACAACAGGAAGAGGCTCGTCTCTTGAAGACTCCAGCAAATGCACAGAGCAGCTTTGAGGAAAAGCCTTCACACATCCTCTCTAGAGCTGCAGGCTGGTATTTCCTACTAATATTTTCTTCACAACCTTCCCAAAGTCTGTATCACAGCCACCTCTGCACTGGTGGCTTATTGCAATGCACATGAGTGTATCACTGCCAAGCACAGATTTAGTGAGGAACAGAATTTGTCTTTACCAGCTGCTCTGGAAAGCTAAATCAATTTTAAATCATGCACCATGTTGGAAACGGATAGTACTCTGCACTGAATTTTGCTCTTTTCAGCTCATCATGGAGACCTCAAACTAACAGCTATTGGCAATTCCAGATACAACAACTTGATAAAATTTGATACAAATATATATATAATGACAGAAAGAAACAAATAACTGTATTTAGACTTTTTGACCTACTTGCAGTAAATACACATTTACTTTCACAGATTAACTTTAGGTACTTGTTTTTGAGTTTGTAGATGAATCCTGTAGTATCTGTGGAAATTATAAATGCAAATGTTTGGGATCTGTGTTTATAATCGCCTACTGTACTTTGCTTCCCATTTAAATGGACTGCACTTCTAAGAAATACAAGTAACAATAAGATAACAAGCTGATTCTGAAAAACAATTCTCAAATTGCCACTTCCAAACATTTAACTTCAAAGCCATTCTTGAACTAAAACTCAAAATTTCTACAGAGATTAATTTTACAAGGCATTTTAAGGGTCACAAGTCCTCTGTATTAATTCACTGGCAGGGCTGATGATGAAGTTGAAGGAAATTATTTCCAAGGATGCCAGCAGTCCCCTCCATTCCCATGGGTGGGCTGAGGGTGCAGCAGGGCAGCTCTGCAGTGCTTTGCAGCCTCCTCCACCACACACATTCAGGGAGCCAGACAGAAGCCATGGCCCTGCTCAGAAAAAGGCTGCATCAGCATCCTGGTGAGGTTGCTGAATGTGGGCTGAAATCTTTCTAATTGAAGCCATGTGCCACTGACCTATCACAGGCACAGAGTCTGCACTCACTAAGGGTTTCAAGTAGCAGAAAACTGTTAGGTTGAGGGGTTTAGGACTCTTCATGGTTATAAACACATCCCATAAATGACTCGTCCATACAAATCACTGCTGGCCTGAATTGCTATTTGTTTCCTAGAATTGACACCTTTTTCTATGGATGAAAAGACAAGTTGGCTTCTGATCATCTAAAAACTTCCAGAAAATTTACAGTCAGGCTCTGTACTCAAATGTGGGACAGCGAAGAAATAATTTATGTTGCTTTGATGACAACCATGCATGTGAGCACTTTGCTTATTACAGATGCACTGCAGCACATGCCTGAGTGAAGTCACAGCAAGTCCAGCAGGAACACCACTTTACCAACCCTGTGGTGTACTGCACATTCTCATTCCTGCCTGCTGGGCTCTCCTGTCCTCTCAGCACCAGCCACATCCCTCCCTCTGGACAGCAGCTGCCCCTGTCCTCTGCAGCCTGAGAGAGCCCTGGGGCACAAGGATTCTAAACAGCAGCATGATTTTTTTTTTACTGGTTTGGAAAATGCTCCAGCTTCTGCTCCTTACCTCAGTGCAGTAGTGCTTTTCAAGCCTTTGGCTTTCCTTTTGCTTCTGGCAGGTGAGGGAGAGCACAGACACGATGGTGCTGTTGCCACTGCTCTCGTGTGACGCCGTCCAGGACGTCAGGGCAGTCGTGGAGCTCAGCACGGTCACCGTCACATGCTGGGGCTTCTCAGTGAGCTCCTCTATCCACTCACCTGTGGGGCCTGGGACATGGCCCAAAAGCACAGGTGAGCAAGACACTCCATCCATTTTGAGGCACACGTGTTAAAACACCCTTCTTTCAGGGAATTGTTTATTCCCTTTTATAATTATTTATTATTTATTCCCTTTCAGGTGAGGGAGGCTGGATTGGCAGATGTCCACCCACACAGCCCCCAGGTAGCAGAAGTGGCAGCCCCTGGGACAACTTGCAGCAGAGCCCATGACAAGAGAAATGTGCCTGTCTGAAAATTCAGAGGGCAGTATTCTCTGCTGACCAGAAACCACCCAGCAGGATCAGATTTGCTCCAAGGGAATGCTTAAAAGCACTGGCAGCCAATAATGTACAGATCATTGACCAATATTAAAGGATAAGCACACAGATTTTTTTGCCTCTCCACATACTAACACACCCTCCAAGCACACCACGGCCTCAAAGCATGAAAATCAAGTTCACAGAGGTCACCAAAGTGAAGAACCTCATTCTTCATCGGACTTTTTGGAGCACTTGGTGGAGAACACAACTTTAAATATGATAAAAGAACAGTTTGGAAAATAGCTAGACTTGGTCAAAATTTTGTATTTCATGAAAACAGCCCATTTTTCTTGTCACTTTTAAGCAGTGCTTGTGACCCCTCTCTCCTTGACATTCTTCCTCCATGCAACTCTAAAGGTAATTTACATTTATTGACAAAATAAAACAAATGCCAGAGCAAGAACGTGGTTCAAGATCAGCCTATAATATTTGACTGCTATCTGGATGTAACAAAAATATGTAAACAAGCTAGTAATTTGACAGGATGATTCACCAACCAAGCATTACAAGGAAAATATAAGACTGACACTGTGGGCAAAATTTACTCACAGCCAAAGACCCACACCCACACAGGTAAAAAAGAGGAATTTGATCATTAGATTATTCTCTGGAGACAGAGGATGTACATGCAGCTCTCACTATTCAGAAACTGTTTCAGTGTTGACATTAAGGCAGCAGAGATGCCTCATGTCATAACCCAGAGCTGTAGTCCCCACACAAAAAGCCTACTTGACCAGACTCAGAATGAAGAATGGAAAAGCAATTTTAACCTAAGAGCATTTGTTCATATCTCCAATTTGGCATTCTACCAGAAATACATATAAAATCTATCTAAACTACTAAGGACCTTGCATTCAACAGAGTAACTAAAATGCCTGCCAAGAACCCTCATTTTGTTGTAAAAGCATGCAAAACTAACTGACAAAACCCAAAAACCAAAGGTTCTTATGTGCTACATGGAAAATTAAAATACCATTTCCTTCCTATAACACCTTAATACTTTATCCATAATGAGATTAAGGTTCATCCTTAATCTGCCCATCTACACCCCTATAATTTGGGTTAACATGTCCTCATTTCTCTCAGGTCCACAGTTAGCATGGTGGACACATTAAGTATTAAATACTGCTTAATGAAAATTAAATATGTCACATCTTGCAAAATGGAACAACATTTGGTATTAATAGCAATGCTACATATTTATCTACTTTAATGCTTTTCCTACAATGAAGCTGTCCAACTATTCCTAAAGAAAAACAGAAGACAGTGAAATTACAACAGCAGAGACCCTCTCTCTCATGTGCTGTTTTCTGGATGTTTTCCAATTATTGTTTCTTCCAACTATAAAGTTGTTAAAAATGGGAGCAATAGTGGAATTCCTACATGCAGTTCAGCATTATGATGAATTCAAGTCTAAATACCTACTTTTGTAAATGTTATGAGCTACTAAAGGCACAATTTTTATTCATAATATACTGAAGCGCTTGACTACATTTCCTTTTAATAGGATTTTTTTTCTGCCAGCTTTGGCTACTGTGTCTTGTTGCAGTATTCATGGTTTGGGAAGGCATTATCTTTTCACATTCAAAATTGTGCAGTGCTGCAAGTATTCCCCTGTCTCATTCCATGGGCATTCCACAGGGTATATCTACTTCCTTCTGCAGAAAAAGGCACAAAGGTGACCACAGCCATTAGAAGGATAATGATCTGAATTCACCAACACCTGTCTCACTTGCTGATCCAATTGTCAGTCTTGGTATTAGTTTACACAGTAGTGTATTATTACTTTGTCTTTTACTGAATCTCCAGTTAAGAAAGTCTGGGATTCTACAGGGAAATAATAAATTACTTTTTCTCCTTTGAATTTAGCAGGCTGAACCACTTCATCTGCTGTAATTTGCTCTGTGTTCTCTCAGAGACCATTCAATTTCAGAGTTCAGTGTTTAATTGTGCAATTCCCACACTCTCAGCCTGTGCTGCCCTTCATCCCCTACCCAGTACATACTCCAGGAGTAGGAAAGTTAAATATTTCCAAAGCTCTCTGCAACCACCAAATTAATTCTTGGAATTAAATCCTCACTCTGAGAGATGCAAAAGGGAAACTCATTTCACTTCTGAACACTGACAACAACTCCATCACATCGCTTGATTTCCTAAGACTGCCCAGATGGCACAACCAAGGCCCATCCAGGCAGGTTGCAATATATTAATTATTATAATTAATACAATAATATTTATACCAATATTTATAATTATAATTAATGCATATTTGCACTACATTTCCTGCTCTGGCACAGGGAATTCCAGAAGACCAGACCCTTGTGATCCATCAGCAGGTGTTAGGAATACCACAGTGGTCAAACTCTGTAAATTGCAGCTATATTGTTCGGGGAGGAAAAGAGGAGTTTGATGAGATACTTACTGATGTAAAAGCTAAGTGTTTTTGCTGATTGACTTCCCCGAACTTCACAAGAGCCAGAGGAGCTGAATGTTGTAACAGACAACTTGTATTTTCCTGGTTCTTTCAGTTCAGCAACAAATTTGTGAGTGTCCTCACTCACTGTCAAAAATTCTGTGGAGTTCTCTAAATAAGGAGGGAAAAAATGTAGATTAATTGAAATTTGAAAGGTATCAGCCACCAGAAGAATTATTTACATCAGAAATGCTAATTCTGTTTCAGCTGTGGGATTAAAAGGTATCCAAAAGGACTTTATTCAAACAGTGTGGCAATATGTGCAGCAGTATAAATCTTGTTTAACAAAAGAGAACTGCAAGCTGTGGTTTACTCCTGCCCAGCCAAAAGTAGATGCTGCTGAATGCAAAAACTTCTCAAGAAATACATGGGATCTAACAAAACCCTCTGAAGCACAGTACTGTATAATTGGTAATTCAGAGGAGACAAGCACCAACAGAATTACAGAAAAGGAGGATGAGAAGGGCACAAGGCTCAGGTTTACCTTCCCTTTCAATATTGATGTGGAAACCATCAAAGGCAGTAGGGGGCTTTGGAGGCAACCAGGTCAGCACCATCTGCACAGGAAGGAAGGGAGGGGGCTCTGCTGTGGGTCTGCCAGACGTGTTGGCATCAGTGGCTTCATAATCCCTGGAACCTGCGTTGACAAACTCCTCCTCCCCCTCGGAGGACTCGGCCTCGCTGGACCACCAGGATGGCTGTGAGCTGGTTCCAAACTCGCTGCTGTTGGAGTGCTCATCCAGCCAGGCTGCGGAGGTGTTGGCTGCTGGGATTTCAGTAGGGCTCTCAGAAGGATGGCTGAGTTGCCCTTTCCTCATGATCTCCTGCGGTCCGATGAAGGATTCTTCCGCGAAATTGCCGCTGTGCTCCTCCCAGTTGTTTCTGTTGATTGGTACGATCTGAACAGAAATGTTTCGGGGTGGGTAAGGAACTGAAAGAGAAGCAAGGGATGGGCTTTTAATGGGTGTGTCCTGTGCACCTTTAAATGTATTAATTCCCCAGACAAATAGCATTCTCCTAGGGATTGTTTGAAATGACTTGTTCTTACTAAGATCCTCCCTTCTCTTGCCTATTCTTATACATATACCAAAGTGACTGTGGTGGGATCAAGATGAGTATAAATTCACAGCATTATCACAATAAAGAATGCCAGGAAGTAAAGTAGATGTGAAGTCACAGTAAATCAAACTTCAGTGCAAGGCTACTCCAGTGTGAATTTTTAACAGTGAATCTTTATTGTGTCTTCCAGGAAGTTCTCGATCATGGAAAAAAAGCCCACGTCTGTAGAAATGAATTTAAACATGCAAAAAGAATATATGGCATAGCTCATATTTTAAAAAATAACCTTGCTGTAGGGCTTTTCATATGCTTTTAGCAGCCACCTTTTCACAAGCATTAAACATCAGTTTAAAATTTAATATTTGTGAAAGCTTGATCTTAAGATTCGGGTCTCCACAAGACAAGATTCTGGCACGCAAAGAAGTTACTTCAGCTGATGCCAGGAGGTGAACACACAGCATTTTGTCTGTCTCACTGTGATTGCTTGTCTGCCTCTCCTTACACACTCTGATTATCCTCTGCAAATATTTTTGCCTGGCACCTTTTAAGCTGGCATTTTACAGCACACTAATTTGTTCAAATCCCATCCCATCCACGGCCACTAATAGAAAACCAGACTCCACATTCTCATTGCAGTTCATGTGAAAAATGAGGCATGGGAGGGCAGCAGAAAAAAAAAAAAAGGGATCCTGTTAGTTATGGTTCAATATCTCAACAACTATATTTAACATATTCAGGACAGAACTCAGCTGGTATCAGCTGGCTTAGTTCTGTCCAAGGCAATGGACCAACACCAGTGTATTCATCTGAAGATTTGGCCTTTTGATTTTATCACTGGTACATTTCACTTTGGACCCTGATAAATGTCTGCGGTCCAAGAGATTAACAAAAAAGTTTTGGGCACCATCCCAGGACCAAATTAAATTAGTTCTGGACCCTGAACAAATGCAATTTTCAGCCTTTGCAACATTGCTGTCTTGGAAATTAAAAGTTCATGCTTCAGGGCACAGAGTGGCCGCCAAGTTGGGCAGCTCTGACATTCTTCTCTGTGATGGAAAAGGGCACAGTGAGGAAGGTCTTCTCGAGCAGTGCAGCTGTGATTCACCACACAAGGAGACAGACCAACAGAGACAGATCAATAGTCTGCTCAGTGCAGCTATTCCTGTGGCATAAAAATTTGTTCCTAGCACAAGGCTTGGGATACCTCACATGAAGCAGAAGTTGTTTTGTAAGAAGCAAGCTTTACAGCAGGAACACTCACACAAATTTCCCTCTGAGCTGTTTGCATACACAAGCCTTTGGAACAGCCACAGCATCCTCCTCCCGTGCTCCCAGGACTGCTCCCACACAGACCCTGCTCTCTGTGGGATCAGTCCCCTCCCCACAGCAGCAAGAAAAGAAGAAATACAGACTTTGGAAGAAATGGTGTGTAAGAATTTTCGTCACCTGTTCTGTGCTGTTTGGGCTCATGCTGGACCCCACTGTATTCCACGAGCGTGCTCTTGTTGAAGGTTGCTTCTGACACCAACTGGAATGTGATGTTACTGTAGCATATGCCTGGCAGCCAGTGATTGAAAACTGTTTTACCTTTAAAGAAATCTGCAGAAGGTTTAAAGAGAAAAGAAGGAAGGAAAAAAAAGCGGATAATGCATCAAATGTTCGCTTTCTGATAATGTGACTGCACATGGTGAATGGGCAATGTTTTAGATGTTTAAACATTTTTCAGCCTGCTCTGAGACATGAAATTGTAATAATTCAGTTTGCCAACACTTTTCCTGGCTGTCAAAGCCACTTTGCTACCAGAAAAAAGAAAGACCAAAAAAAAAAAAAGGCCCAGCACAAGAAACATGAGCTGCTTTTCACTGGCAAGGGAACTGAATCTGGCAACCTGCTCCACGTGACCACTGAATATCTCAAAGAGCATCTGACAGTTCCTGAAGACCTTTAACTGCTGCACGCAAAAGGTCTTTTTTTTTGCTGGTTTTTTGCTGACTGAAGCCCAGCATTTGTGGGAGATGTTCAAAGGAACACCCGCCTGCAATCGAGTGGTGCTGAGGGCTCAGCTCACGTCCACCACACAGGAGGGCTGAAGAGAACTTGCTCAGGGCTATCTGTGTGCAAGCTGATTAGTGAATCTCCTAATTTAAGCTGACTCCTTTATTTATCAGCAGCTTCAGCGTTACAGCCCCCGGAACCATCTATTAGCTGTAGAGGAGAAAAATTACTGCTGGTGTCCCTTTTGTTCTCTGCAAAGAGGTCACCTGTATTTTCTGCCACGATCCAGACTTTATCCTTCCTAACTTCTGGTACTTTACAACACTGAGAAGAGGATTTCTAGCCGCACTTTGTATTGAAGCAAAGTCACTCCCAAATTCTCTGACCTCCTTCCAGAGGTGTGTATCTACCTCTGCTGAGTTTAAAGAGATTTTCCAGTGATGAGTCTTCTATTCTGGGATCCTTAATTCAGTGCCTAAAATTCAATTCAGTAACTACTGGATTGCCCAAAGATTTTTATTTTGGATTTAATTTTGATTTTGATTTGATTTTGGATTTTACTGCCACTATGGGATGTTAAACCATTGGGGTTTCAGGGTCCACAAGGCACACGGGTGCCTTCCTCACCTCTTAGGGTGCTTCCCACAGGACATTTACAGTCCCATTCATATCTCTGAGACAGATACTGTGCTTAAGATATACTGCAGGGCAAAAGTTGTAAACAAATACAATTGTTGTAAACAATATGGAAGGGTTCAGTCACAAACAAATAAAAAAGAAAGCAGAATTTGCTCTTGTTTAGATCATTCAGGTGGTTAGGTTGGTTGTTTGCTTAGGCTGACTGTCTAGACTGTTAGATTGATTGCCCTTGACTAGATTATTTTAGGAACATTGAAATTTCTATTCTGCAGCAGGGTTTTTTAGCTTAGGGACAGCACTGGATGCTGCATTGATGTACTCTACAGCACAGCACTGTGTCACTGCAGGGTGACACAGAACCACCAGGCTTGATCCTGTGCCAACAATCAACTTTATTGAATGGGTTTCCCTCCTCTGGGACATCCCAGAGCTTTCCTATCAGCTACAGACCAAAGAGGGAACATTGGTCAGAGGGAAGAGCCTGGGAGCTTTTGTATTGCTTTGAACTGACACACAAGCACCAGGGACTGGGAATGCCTTTCCAGGCTAATTTCAGACTGAATACAAAAATCCAGACCAATGAGTCTTCCTCTAAAATCCAAAAGAAAGGGAACATCACTAGAACTAGAATTCTAGCAGTTTAAACATCCCAAGTGAACCACCAGCTCAATTCAAAGACCCATCCCCTACTTCACAATATAAAAGCACATCACCAAAAGCACAAATCATTATATAAATACATACCAAAACCCCATCTAAGGCCACTGTTTTGGATGTTTCTAGCAGAGTTAGCATTAAATTTTGGTGAAATAGTTTCCACCTACCTTTGTAGAGCATTGTTCGGTAGTCTTTTCCTTCCCAATAGCTTATATTGACCCTGGTAAAAACATTGTACTTCTCTGGGTACTGAATTTCAAACAACACTCCTGTTTCTGGAGATGGCTTGTAATCATAGATAGAAACATTGCTCACAGGAAGTGGTTCTAAAGGACAGACAAACAAAAGGGGGAAAAAAAGGAAGAAAGGGGCAGATTAAGAGGCAAACTGAGTTATTTGCACATAAACAATATCAATGAAAATCAATGTTTTTGAAGGTATGGTACATACAATATCAATGAAAATAAATGCTTTTGTAGGTATGGCACAGGCACTCTTAAATCTACCAGGTGATATCTGAGGCTTCACTGAGGTGTGAGGAAAAGATACTGGGACCTTGTCAAAACCAGTATTTCTATATTTCCCTCTTTAAATCATCTATTTTCTTAACACTTATGCTTTAACAGCAAAATTTCCATATTTGACATTAAAAAAAAGTTATTATTTAAGCACTCACAGTCATGACCTTAGAAATATTTTCATATTTAATACTTGTCAATCACGTAGAAGTGCCCAGACAAAACCAACACAACACTTGAAACTGCTTGTGACTTCAGCAGAAATGTAGAGCTTTCAAGATGAGCTGAGAAAACTATCAGTGACAAGACCAAAGGAAGCTACACGAATAAGGATTTCCTACTTTGGTATCTGTACATTTCTTTATTTCACAGGTAGTTATACAATCTATTCCCACCATGTGAGAAGGCCACAATCCTTATCTGTTTATCCACACCAAACTTCTAAATAAACAAAATAAACACTACCATTATTTTACAGATGAATAACTGAGGTACAGAGAAGTAGAGTGGTTTATTGGAGGGCACAGGGAAAGCCTGTGCACAGGAAGGAGGTAAGTCAGGAACTGCTCTGCACCCAGAGTCAGGTAGGCCACAAAAAGTAAGAACAAAATAAACACTACCATTATTTTACAGATGAATAACTGAGGTACAGAGAAGTATAATGGTTTATTGGAGGACACAGGGAAAGCCTGTGCACAGGAAGAAGGTAAGTCAGGAACTGCTGCTCTGCACCCAGAGTCAGGCAGGCCACAAAAAGTAAGGAAAATATCCTGTGCCCTGTGATCTGAAATCCAAACCAGTGCAGCTCCATCAGCTGAGGAAAGCCATGTCAGTTCACTGCTGCACTGTTGCTGACAACAAGAAAGTCACATTTTTATTCAGCTTTCTCTATTCATTAAAAAACCCCAACAAAAACTAAAAGAAAGAACAGCTTTTGTTCAATGCTCTCCCTAGCAAGAAAAAATTGACAGCAACCCAATTATCCTGTGGTTAAGAGGTCCAAGCAAGGGTACACTGTCAGCTGAAATTTGTCATAGTAACATATTTTAATACAGATAGTTAATGCAATTATGCCTCAATCCTTATAAAGGTTAACATGTTGATTTAGTTCATGCACACTACAGGGATCAGATTGCTAAATTCAGGCTGTTGATTAGCACAACCTTACAGGACCCATTTGAGTCCAAAATTTTGCTGCTGTAGGCCCTGGAGAAGAGCTAATAAAATATTTTTCCCCAAAGAGCACACACAACAGGCAAGAGAATAAGCAGATGAAATGGAAAGATCAGTGTCAAAAGTGGAATTATCCTACAGGAGGTGGAGTGGCTTAATCAAAGATGGAAAAGCAAGACTGTAGTGAAAGAGAAAACTCAATCCCAATGACCAGCAGCGTATTTTCACTACAGCTTTAAGTTTCTAGATGTGATGAGAAACAGAGAAGAAAAAACAACTGGGAATAAAACCATAGATGCAAACAGAATCTGTCACCAAAACCAATGTGTCATCATTTCTAACTTTGCCAGAGCATGGAAATGTAATAGTGTGGGGTTATTGAACTATTTCTCATGGCATTATCTCCATTAGATATATATCAGTATATTTGTACATTAACCACTTACAAAGAGAAACTCCCCATCTCACAGATACCAACAGGCACTTCAGTGATCTGTGAAGATTCTGCTGACATTTCATGATAGCCCAGAAATAAACAGGAGTAAAGCAGAGCACAGGAAACAAAGCCCACCCTCTTCCTTCTGCCGACGCTCTTTCCATCACTTACTCCGAAATAAATAGTGGAAATGACTCCCCACATGGCCAGAGGGTTCATATCAAGCTCACCCAGCACACGAGAGTGGTTTAAATGTCAATAACAATCTCTAAATAGCACAGTGCTTATGTGCAGTCATCTCCCACGTTGGCGGGTGTGCCCTGGGCTTTCTCCTGCTCTCTCGTTCACATCCGAGGTCTCCTCATTTCTGAAAGAATTACTGAAACTTTCTTGTGCCAGTGATTCAATTACCCCATTTATTCCTTCCTACAACAAATCAAATAAAGGATGGAAGCTATATTCATTTTTAATCCAGATGATTTTTCCTCCTGATGCTTTGATTTAATTAAGCAACAATTGAATTAAGTGGTAATCACCACAGACTCTCTTTCGTGTCGCTATCTTCCGCTCGCTATCCTCCCCTTGCTCATGGCTGATGTTAGCAGAGCTGCATGAGTGACATAATGCAATTTAAAGATCCTCCCATTATCTTACTTCCTTCAGCACCAAATCTTCACATCAAAAGCTATTTGCACACTGTGAAATTAAAAGAACGCTCAGCAGATAACCATCATGTTCTGTCTTTCGCTTACTAACTGCTCCTAGGGCTATTAAAATTAAAGAATATGTAAAATGCCACTCTTTACTATCTATATTTATAATTCAGAGCATAAACAGTCTGGTTTTTAATTTAACTATTTTCAGTGTTTAGGATCCAGCTTGTTTACAGATTTCAGTGGCTGTCAAGAAATAGCCTAAATAAAGTGGACTCACAGAAATGTAATACTTAGAGCTTTATAAAAGCCCTGTACTACATTGAAGTGATATTACAGAAGGGATTTAGAGCATTTCACTGTCTTTCTAATAGTTTAAAATACCTCTTCACTTGCAATCTCTTTAGTTTTAGACTTGGAGATTATATTATACACACATAGACGAGATTGCAGGATCAAGACCTGAATTTACCATTTTTCATAGTGTCTCAGAATTTGCTGCTTCTGTAGCAGCTGCTTTCTCATTTTATCTGTTTACAGGAAACTCAGCTTCTCTGTTTATCCTGGACTTTCCAGCATTTTGCATTTAGCATATAACTTGCATTACACAAGCATCAAGACAGCATAATAAATGTGCCTAACATCTTCCTTCAATGCCCTGGAAAATTCTGAATGCTAAATCCTCCATTAATGCATCCAGTTTGTGTCAGACACATTAATATTTGCAATTCAGGAGGGAAAAAAAAACTGCTGTGAAAATAAGTACCATGTTTCAATCCAAATCAATTTGTTTGTAATATGTGAAGATTGGGTCACTCTACAAATTGAATTAATTATTGCTGTAGCTTAGAATATAACATCACATGTGGGACTGAGATCTCTTGCTTCTCACACTGGAACACAGATTAATCATTATTTACCTCCATATTGTGACTTTTATAAAAAAGATGCCCCATTAATGGAGTGACCTAACCCCATGGGTAATTCCCTTTATTTACAGAAAGAAGTTGTGAATGATGTAATTTTCTCCCCAGGATGACACTATTTATGCAGCTGTTTCATTTCTGGGAGTAAGCCACAGGCAGGGTAAACCTTCCATTATGCTGTAAACTTTAGGATGCTTTATCTCTTGTTAAAAAGAAACCATCTTTGATATTAAAGAAGCTCTTGTTCAATATTTGGGGAACACAATGTTCAAGTTTATGATAGGTAATAGTGATATTGTGCTTATAAAGGGGGAATGCAAGTGAAAATAGTACCTGAGCAATGATGCCATATAATGCAATTTCTACATGGCCACATAGGGTGATAAATAAAAAGATGACACAACTTAAAAAATAATGTTGTCACAAGAACAAAGGCATATCTATTGTTCTTGAACAGATTTAGGCCAACTGTTTAGATCCTCCTTACAATGCAAATTACAGCAGGTTGCAGTTCTTTCCGTTTCTTTGATTCTGATGGAGAAGTTTTTTCACCCTAAAATTAGAGGATAACATGGTTTATTTGCTGGGAGAAGATGAGCACTAATGGACCTAGATGCTGTTGTGAACCATGTTTCAATCCAAATCAATTTGTTTGTAATATGTGAAGATTGGGTCACTCTACAAATTGAATTAATTATTGCTGTAGCTTAGAATATAACATCACATGTGGGACTGAGATCTCTTGCTTCTCACACTGGAACACAGATTAATCATTATTTACCTCCATATTGTGACTTTTATAAAAAAGATGCCCCGTTAATGGAGTGACCTAACCCCATGGGTAATTCCCTTTATTTACAGAAAGAAGTTGTGAATGATGTAATTTTCTCCCCAGGATGACACTATTTATGTAGCTGTTTCATTTCTGGGAGTAAGCCACAGGCAGGATAAACCTTCCATTATGCTGTAAACTTTAGGATGCTTTATCTCTTGTTAAAAAGAAACCATCTTTGATATTAAAGAAGCTCTTGTTCAATATTTGGGGAACACAATGTTCAAGTTTATGATAGGTAATAGTGATACTGTGCTTATGAAGGGGGAATGCAAGTGAAAATAGTACCTGAGCAATGATGCCATATAATGCAATTTCTACATGGCCACATAGGGTGATAAATAAAAAGATGACACAACCTAAAAAATAATGTTGTCACAAGAACAAAGGCATATCTATTGTTCTTGAACAGATTTAGGCCAACTGTTTAGATCCTCCTTACAATGCAAATTACAGCAGGTTGCAGTTCTTTCCGTTTCTTTGATTCTGATGGAGAAGTTTTTTCACCCTAAAATTAGAGGATAACATGGTTTATTTGCTGGGAGAAGATGAGCACTAATGGACCTAGATGCTGTTGTGAGTTACATTTCAAAGTTAGGGCTGCCACAGATAACCAGCCTTTTTAAAGGTGTTCTACATCATCCTTTAAGAAAGAAAACCATGAAAGGCTAAAGCTTTACATTTCATTAAGGAAAAAAAACCCTCTGAAGCTCTGAGTTAAAGAACCCTGATCCATTAAGAAGCCAGAGGAAAGGACTGGACCTGCTGAATCACTTCCTGCAGCATCTGGCACGACGACAACAGAGCATTAACTGGGTGTAAAGCCAATTACTTTCTGAGGGCTGGAGATCAGAGTCTCAGGCAGCAGCTGTTGGCCTCTCGAGGAGAATATTTTTGTAGGACACACAGAGGCAGAACTCCCCCTAAAGGGAATATATTTCACAGTCATGTATGTAAGGAACCATCAGCTTTTGAAACAATGAGGCATTTTACCACTCAGAACTCCTAATCATCAGCTAAAATAAAAGCCAGGCAGAGCTGCTCTTAATTACCAGAGATCCTCAGATCCAGATTTTTCCAATTCCCAGCAGAGACACATTTTTTCCTGCAGCACACAATAGTTTTGCAATGAACTGCTTTCCCCATTCCTACAAATGTATAAACATTCTTTTCTTTCACAATATAAAGTTGAAAATGCATATGAAAAGAAAAAAGTGGAAGATGCTATGACTCACCCTGGGAAGAATAAAATAAGGCTTCAAGCTGGGAAAATGTAGGATGAGTGGGTGAGAATATCAGTCACTGATTTTACAGATGTGCTCCTCATTTATTTCATAAACTACTTTAAAATCAATTAGTAATAAAGTGGAATTTTCAGTCAAGTATTTAAAATACTAAATAAATTATACAAATTCCAGAATTACTTCATCCCCATTTAAAAGCCAAAGCTCCAAGAGCAGAGGAAAGCAAACCTGAAAGTGTTGTGTGAGATACCAGAACTACAACATTGCCCAGGCTGAAGAATGGAAGGAAGGTGACTTTGACAGGCACAGCACAATTGCACTCACAAGAATCCAGCCAGGCGGGTGAGATTCTCACAACTATTCTTGTCAAAACCATTGCAAGGATGTTTAAAAAGCAATCATGGTTTCCATTTTTCTCCTTCAGTGATGTACTGAGCCAAATTTGCTGAATACAACTTTGCTACAGAATCAGAAGCAAAAAGTGCTATTTTGTGCTAAAATTCCACGTTACAGGCTTCTTATCTAAGAGTTTTCAAATAGCTCATCCTTTTCATTGCAACAATCTGAACCACAGAGCCTAACCGAGGAAATTCTATAGCTTGTGGTATTTTTGATTAAAGTGAGAAAACCCTTAAATTCTTCAAATCAGAGACAAGCAGAGCTGTGCAGTCCTGTAGAAAACGACCAAATTAACAATGGAATGCTCAAAAGGAACACGTACACATGATATGTGCATGGATGACACGCTCACATGCAATACAAGGAGGTGATCCAAGACAGCCAGGATGGCTTCGTTAAGGGCAAATTGTGCCTGACAAATCTGGAGGTTTACATTGAACATGAGGAAAAACGTCACTGAAAAGGTGGTCAGGCATTGGAATAAACTGCCCAGGGAAGTGGTTGAGTTGCCACCCCTGGAAGTGTTCAAAGAATATGTGGAGGTGGCACCTGGGGACATGGTCTGGTGATGAACTTGACAGTTTTGGGTTAACAGTTGAACTTGATTATCTTAGAGGTCTTTTCCAACCTAAATGATACTATGATTCTATGTTACAGGTATATTTTTGTGACATGATTTTATATTTTTACATGTACATATTTACATGTCCATATATATGCCTATATATAACGTATAAAATATGTATTTTGTTAGCTTTTCAAGTCTTTTCTGGCCAGAAACCTTTGAGAGGTAAAACAAAGGTCTTCTAAATGGGTTCTTCTCTTGCTTTTCCTTGCCAATTCCCTTAGAGGTAGTATATTGATGGGAGACATGAACAGGAGAAAGGAAATGCCATCAGGATTTACCACCAGAAAGCAGAGGTCTTTCACGACTCCCACTGAATTTCTAAGTAGGCAATGTCTTTGAGGCACCTTGGTCTTGTTTTGGTGAGCACTTTTTGGGTACACAAAGCTCTGTGTAAAACTCAAACCTCTAGCATACATTGAAAAGTCTCCTTTGCAGACTCCAGGATATCCCAAAAAACTCTTGTGAGCACTGCCTTGGGAATAACCACATTGGCATCGCTGGCTATCCTGCTTGATTTATTTTGTGGCAGCCTAATGAATGGGGTCAATCTGCCACTGGTAAAGCTCTCCTGACACCAATGGAGTTAAAACAGGAATTAATTTGCACTGAAAGTTAATTGCAATGTGCCATTCTTTCATGTGTAAGATACAGATGGAAAAATTTAGATAGTTACATGTCTTTGCATGATTAAATAAACCAAGAATATTAAACAGTCAGAGAGCATAGGGCAAAAAGAAAAATATACATCCGTCTTAATTATTATCTGCCAAAAAATCAAGTTAATTGATAGTCATAAAATTATGAAAAAAAGGCATTGCACAATACCAATAAGAGGGGGGAAAAAAGAAAAAATCCCAGCAACAAACCAAATACCACCTCATGCATTTTTGTAGGAGAAACCAGGGGTCACAACAGGAGTTTAAAGATCTCAAAACCTGAAGGGCATTGAAACACCTTAAAAATCCCACCCTGCCACGCTGCCTTTTCATTCCAAATTTACTTTCAGTCCTGTAGCCTTGTGCTCCAAAGGATGAACTTGGGAGCAAAGGCTGCTACAAGAGAGCCAGCACTCATCAGTCTGCATGACAGAAAATATCACAGAGGAGATTGGATCCTTTCCATTCCAAAGCTCACCATTTACAGCCTACTTTTGGAGTTCAGTGCAGCATCCTGCAGGACTGCCCTTTCATCCTCAAGAATGTGGTTGTCCCTCTGTTGAGTCAAAACCAGAGAAATCCCCAGTTCTCTCTCTGTTACACGGCTCCCACTGGCAGCCCTGGCTGAGTGCCAGGATCCCTGGTCCTTCCAAGGTCTGGGGGAGCAGCAGGACACCCCAAATGCTGCCAGCACACCCCATCAGACAGGTGGTGAAACCATCGAGCCTTGGAGGAGGAGAGGACACAGGACATGTCCTTGGAACCCCCAGCCTCACACTTTTCCACACCTTGTGGAAACCCCCTGAGCCAGAAACGGGAAGCCTGGAGCTGGCTCTGGTGGGCTGAGTGACTCTGGCTTCCTTTTTCCTTCAGAGATTCCCTGCACAGCAGCGTGTGCACCATCTGCCAGCTTGGATCACACCTTCCCTGCTACCAGAGATCCTCATGAGCTCTGGAAATCAAAGAGCAATGAGTTCTGCCACACAACTGCAAATGCAGCACCCAAAACCTGCTAAGAATGCATACTGAGGCATTTTTCTTCCAGTTGTATATGACAACAGATGCTTTAATTATTTTCTTTGAAGAAAACAAACATAAAATAGAAAATTGCATTAAAATTACTACTTTACTTACAAGGTTAAAGCAGTCAAAGGAAAGGAAATTCAGGCTGCCTGTGAACCCTGAAATTATTCAGTTCTTGTACTACCCAACAACATGATATTTTTCCCATGGGACCCTTCATGGTTTTCCTCATCAGAGGACAACTTGAGCATACAAGGGAAGGCTGAAGAATGCATAGATTATACAAAATCTTGTTACTCCTCACTCAATAACACAGGAACCTACTTTAACATGCTTTGAATGATATTACTGTGGATAGTGTTTCCTCATTGCCAAAATAATACAGACACAAAAAATAATAACAATTCCTCAGATGTAATACAACTAAAACTACCTATACAATCCAATGTGCCATTTAGGGGAAAGAAAAATCTGAAAAATTAGTCTGGCTCTGTCCAAACAGATTTTTTTGTCATCTTCCAGATGAAGAAATAATTTTCTATTCCACAAATTGTTTTCAATTTCCGGGCTGGCAAATGGAACCTCAGAGCCAGAAGCACAGCTGGAAATCAGTGGTACTTAGTACAGTGACAGAGCAAAGAAAATCACACCCAGGATCAATGCACCTGGAAATAGTAAGAGACAGGCTACCAGAAATGTGTTCTCCATCACAAACACCTTCAGCTGTACTGGCAGAAACACATGGTTTTGGTGACTGGTGTCTGCTTTCCTAGTATTGCTTCCATATATTAGCAGTCAAAGAACAACGTTACAGCATTTAAAACAGAATAAAACTCATTAAATGAGAGGAGCACTTACACTGAAATGTCAGTCAACACTTGTCATGCCCTTTTCTAGATGTTTGGAACTCCTGGTTAGAAGGGTTTAGGATGAACAACTGAAAAGGGGGGTTCATTCATCACACTGTTTTAGTATTTTACACCTCAGTGTTCAGGAAGGGCCAGCCAGGGAAAGGCAAACCTAAAGCCTTTCCTTGCTTTCTGCCCACACCTTGTGAATTTTCACTCACAGCTTGTCAAAACTTCTTCCCTACTGTTCTCACACAGGAAAGCATCAGACACACACTGAAAAGAAACAAACCCAACCTTCTTCACAAGAACTTCTGGGGGAAAAAAAAAGCCACACACACAGACACGTAAGAGAAAAAAAGAAGAACAAGATGTTACTTACTGGTTAACACAGTGATTGACCTCGCTGACTTGGAAACCATGTTTGAGTTGACCACCAAGAGAGTCACTATGTAATACAGGCCATGGTATTTGGCATTGAACACCACAGGGGCAGGTAAAGTGCTATTGAATTCGTCAAACTGGAAAAAGTAGTTCTTGGATTCTCCAGCTATCTTCACAACGTAGACAGAGGACGAGCTCACCACGTCTGATGCCTCCAGGGACACAATGATACAATTGTCTTCTCGGACAGCAACTTGGAAAGGCTCTGCGCTCTACAAAACAAGAATAAAGAGTTTGTTGAGGTAAAATCTAGTATTTTACTTTCACCTATTTCCCTTGTTATTCATAAGATATCATGTTAATTTGGAATAAAGCTACATCTTATATTCAATGGGAGAGTTAACATCAAACAGGAGCAATTATTTGAGGCTGCAATTCACAGTCAGCCAGAGCCCACAGGTATCTGATTATCAGAGGCCATTGTCTCTGCAGCAGAGGCTGGGTCCTGCTGTTTCCTTTCTGATGCTCCACATACTCCATTCCTTGCATCCTGAGGAATAAAGCCTCTGCCATCCTTTCCTGAGGAAAGGTGAAGTAGAGCAGAAGAAGGATGAGATTGTAAAGGGTATCAGGGCAAGAGGATTTCCAAAAAAGCCTTAATGTCATTTAAATCCTCCCAAAAAAAAGAGGTGATTAAATCAAGCCTCTTTTATATTGCAGAAACAGGATCATGGATCCTCAACACAATATATTCTGAAAACCTACAACTGAAGAATAATTTTTGGTAGTGCCTAAGCTTTTCCAAATGGGTATTTCATTAAACATACTTGCCCATTTCAGCAAGTGCTAAGCAGCTCTCACCACTATGTCCATAGTTTTGGCTGGCACTTTTTTATTTCCTAAGCTACAGCATTTAATTTTCAATATTTCTTTTATTAATGGTAGAGAGAAAGGAGCAATTTAACCTTGTTTTCATGCATCATGAGCGTGTTAAGCCACTGCCAGCTGAAAACACTTTCCTTTTTATTAATTTCAAACCAGCTGTCAGGAGAAGCACTTGTTCTCTACAGGAATTTCAAAACAGATTCATGCTAATTAACGAGAAGGAAAAGTTCAAGCTTACTTTAAGAGTTGCCTTTTTGTTTATTAGACCACACCACAGCTTATAATTATTTTACCCCCCACGAAAACTGTAATATCTGGTATATTCAGTTCCCAGCTCCACAGTATTTTTTTCCTTCATGTTTCATGAGAGCTCTCAGGGAAATGTGGAAAAGCCAGGCTAGTTTGCAACTTCTTTGATCAAGTTGTTCCTGTACCAGAGAGAGCTAGAGACCTCCTTCAGAGATTAATTCTAGCAGCCTGACTACCTCCTATTTTCTTGTGGTTTTGTTTTGTGCTTGTTCTTCCATGAAAAAAATATTTCTGGGATTTATGCTTCAAGAACCAGGATGCCTATTTGAAATTCACACATCTGGTGTTGCCAAAACTTAACATTCAAAAAACACTTCCAAAAAAAAAAAAAAAGGCAAAAAACCCCCACAACAACAACAGAAATAAACCCACCAAGGATAAATAAGATAAATAATTGGTTCTAGGAGTGTAAGATTTAAACCAGCAGCAGTTTGTCTTTACATGTATTGATGGTATTATCACTGGGCTTTGACATTTACAGTGCACTTAAGGTTATACCACCCTAAAGGCAAAGCCACAGAGGACCTAAGCAAACCCTCCCATCTGATCCAAGAGGAGAACAAGGCACAAAGCACATAATCAGCCCAACCCAAAGAGGATAACCTGTCTAGACAGTGCCAAGCCTGAGATTAAAAACAAAGGCAATGCAACTTCAGCTGCTGACTTGAGGTTTGCTTTAGCTAGTCTTTTAAAAAATTACTTTTAGGTTGTTAAAATTGCATCTGCCAATGTTACCAGTGGGAGAATATTTTGGTAGGGAAGTCCGGGTAATTTTTCACAGATGGCAAAACGATTGTTCCAAAAGATTTATAATGTAAGACTACAACTACAAAAAAGCTTCCATGTGTTTTCCCCAGGCTTACCCTTGAGCAGAGCAAAATTCTACATTTCAACTGGTTGTATTTTGCCTTAAATCCCAGTTTAGCATTTAGATTCACACAGATTCAAACATTTAACTGGGGATTATGCTTAGATCTGGTCAAAATCAAGTAGAGGTTCTCTTATCCTTCCTTCCTGCCTATTTTCTTTCCACTAAGAAAATGTGGAATCAATCCTACTTCAGCCCTCCTGGTGCAGGAAGACAGGAGAAGAAAGGCACAGGTGACCTGGCTTTCCAGGAGAACATGCACTATTGCATCACAGAAGCCATGGTTGTCTTCCAAGACCAAGAAATTACTCAGCAAGGTTATTTCTACACACTAAGCTTGCAGTTCATGTGTAATCCCACAGAAATCTGTGGGTTTTGACCTTCCACAGACTTGCATTTGAATGATTCACTGGAGGACAAAGAATGGTGTTGTCTCTGAAATTATTCTGGCCTTCCCTTGGCCTTGGCATTGAGTTCCACAGCTCTGACTCCACGTGCCTACCTGGCTACAAAGAGCTAGCCCAAAGTGCCAAATGAATTTATATGTGCCAACAAACAGTTCAAAGCAAGTTCCTTATAGCTGGATACTATAAATCATTTGCTATGCTAATCAAGTACAGCTGGAAATTAAGCGTATAATTGCAGAGTCATGGACATTCCTAGGTTATAATTAGATATCAGGCAATGCTCGTATGGGTTGTGATTTCAGTCTTTGATTCCTCCATGGGTATTGTATTAACCATGATGAAGACCATGCTTTCATTTTTTCCTCTCAACTTTTTGTGAATCCACAGCAAGCACCATTCAGCAAATGGTTCACAAGCCCTCTTCAACAGCTCCCACACCATCAGCACAAAACGCCTCTGCCAGCTAAATAAAACTCTCAGACGTTTCCTGTTGTTATCTATGACACCTGCCTGGGGTAAGTAGCTTTGTTTGAGTCCTCTATCATCTTAAGCACTGTGAAATGATAGTTTCCCTCATCTGTGTGCCCGTGTCCAGATGTTTTGGAAGCACTGCTGCCATGATGCATTTTTTGAGGGCCATGTCCTTAGCAGCCCTGTGCCCCATCCAGCCCATCACTGTGTCCCTCTGCAGGATGCATCCCCCTCTGGAGTGGCCCCTTTCCAGTGATTGTGTGTCCCTCTTCCACACCTCGGTGTGCAGACATCTGTTCTTTATTATCCACTGGCTCTTGAAGTAACTTTTAGCCTTTAATTTCATCTTGTAAGACTGGAATGGCAGATCAGAGATCAATAAAAAGAACTGGCAATTAACATGTCATGAGACAAAATCATTTATCTCCTTTGGAATATGTTTGAAAAAGAACAGACCATTCTGGTCATCCTTCCTTCAAGTTCCTTCAAGGTCAGGGTTACCAGCCAGCACTGGGCTTGTGATTTTGAAGAGAAGGCTAAGAAAAAAGCCGAGTATTTTCTCTAAGCACCACTGGAAGTGACAAACGTGCCCCACTTAAGTAGATTGTAAAGCCAGTGTGTCTTAAGACTGACAGCATCAGTATGGTAAATACACATTTCATTACTTCTGGTCAGCTACCTCCAGGATTTAATTTGCTGGTGTCACAGCTTGAGCGGCTGTTTCATGCCTGTGGGGAAATTTGGCAGGGCTTGTGCATTCAGAACCAAATGATTAGCTCCAACTTCCTTCCTAGTTTATTATTACAAGCTCGTGCCACGATAAAGCACTTAGGAGAAAAAATAAAAAGGAGGGGGGAAGTAAATCCCACAGTGTGATGCCTGTTCACAGTAATTTCCAATGCAGGGATGAGTCATGTTAGTGGAATTTCCAGCCAATAGCCAGGTCCCAATTAAAATAAAAAGGCAGGGGAGGCAAGGAGATATACAACATGTCAAATAAACAATATCCAAAGAGTAATAGGAAAATAAATGGTGTGCAGCAGAGCTCAGAGTCCTCTTTCCAGAAGTTTATATCCTCGGTTTATTTCCATATAACAGAATGAGTTTTACACATGAGGAAGAGATCAAAGCTGCAAAACAGCTACTGCTTTTAAGTACTCTAGCTTCTGAATGTCTCATTGTGAAACACATTGTGCCAGAACCCAATTACCAGAAATGCAAGCAGTTACAAGTTCTGCTGACTTTAAGAGGAGCTGTGGCCACTCATCAGTACTCTAAAATTAAAGTACTGGTAACTGCATCTCATTATCTAATGCCAGACAAGTGGAACTAAAATCCCAAACAAATCTGACTTTTGTCAGCTTTTACAGAGTAAATCCTGCAGCATTCACAGAATTTTCAAAGTAAGCAGGAGCAAATTTTAAAGCTATGAGGATCTATTTCTCAGGCACCATTCTGATCCCCTACTGCATGATGTGGGACAAAAATAACATCCATGCAAGTACAAGAAAATATTGAACACTACTACATCCAGACCTCTTGGGTGAAATACTGACTGTTTCATGAGTGATTCTACTACACTCTGATATATTTTGTCCTGGTGGCCAATAATGCTAATTTCGTTTTAAATCATGTGATGACTCATTCTCACCACGATTCATCTTACTTAATCTTAGGCACTTAAAAGGAATGACTAAGCCAGGATGACCTTTTCAGACAGAACACCTGTGGATTCACCTAAGACTGGAATTAATTTTGAAAAAGCACTGAACAGCCAAAGGGCTGATGGTCCCAGCTTGGCAATATTTCTGCAGTCTTCTGGGTTTAGCGAGTCCAAGCCTTACAAAAAAGACAACATTGGGATCCAGATTTCAGAATCTTTAGCCTCTGCTACAGTCGTGCAGTGTTACAACCACAGAAAGCACGTAAGAAATAAATAGAATTGCAAAATATGCTTCCTTGGAATTGCTAGCTATCATTATTAGCTGCTAGAGTTTAAACAAAATAGGTAAAGACATCCTTAAAGAATTTAGGGAAGCACATCCTAAGCTTTCCACATGTGCCAGTGAATTCTGGAGCAGGCACAGACTTCAGTGTTGACTGCAAGAGGATTGTTTGACACGATCTTCAAAAGTGTGAACAAAAATGTTACAGCCTTCTGACAAAAATTTAAAGACTTTGGGAAAATAAGGATATTTATTTCTGAGGCTTTTGTTTTTATCTATACTTTCCCACAGGTTGTGTGAAGATCATCCCTTAATAAACACTCCTCAGAAGAAATACTCCACAGGAAAAAATGCAAATCTGTATAGTTAAGATTTTCCATGCAAAA